TATTTTTTTTATAACCTAGCCCTGCTTTAAACTTCTCAACAGCTTTATGTGAATAACTTACTGAATCCAGTGTATTCACAGCATGTATTATGATGGGTTGATAAGTAGTTATCAGATGATATTCTGGGATTAGTATTGGGTAGTAGTGGCCCTTCCTGGGCCAATGATTCAAATACTGATCTACAACCAAATCAGGAAAAGAAACAATAGATGTTGAAGTGGTCTAATGTTAATCCATGCAAAACACCAAAATATAGGGGCGCATATCAAAGAGCTATGGAATCCAGGATAGTGCATATCTGATTGAGCAGTTATCCTCAATATGTGAAAGGCAAGCAGTGCAATAGTGGATCAACATTTGGCAGCATTATATAGAGGCCACTGGCTTGAAAAGCAGCCAATCAAGCCTGGACAGCAAATTGCTGTATCAGTCATTTGCCACGCCATGTTCCGGGTAATCCCCCACCTGCGAGACGCAATGCGCAGTGACCTCGCACGGCTGCTGACCCACAGTCAGTCTGGAACAGAAATGAGATAAGCAAGAGGCTTGGTATAAATCAAGCCTTACTTTGGATGGAAGCCTGCACACAGACCAAACAACAGGGCCCGCCCAGGCAAGAAGCTGAAGGGAGGACCCTGTGTGCGTCCGATGGAACAGAAGTGGATCAGAACTTTGGATCTTTTTTTATTACTAAATGGAGAAAGGTACAAACCCAAGCACTATGCCAACTGCAAAATAAAAGGAGTTGTATATCTCCTCTTCTGTGATTGTGGAGGTTGGAAATCTATCTAAGGGCATATTCCCATATCTCTAGTATGAATAATTTTAACCCTGAACTCCCCTTGGGTCGGCATGTTGGAAATATACACAAGTGGGTGTTTCCTAAAATCCAATTTCTTATTCTAGATCGTATCTACCCTGGTCAACAGGGTGGAGACTGGGACGAGCTTCTTTTGCAAGTTGAACAAAGGTGGATATTTAAGTTAAATGCCACCTCACCGTTCGGCCTAAATGAGACTATCTCATATAGACCATTTTTGGATGGCTTTTCATCGGGGTGTTGGGAGGAATAGGCATACAAACACCTCCATTTACATCATACATCCAAGTTTCTGTATCCCACATACACCTTTGCATTATATTTTGTTAATTTTCCTTTTCCTTTTCCATTTTTGTTAGTATTGTTATAAGTAAGCCATTCATGATTTCCATGAGCCCTACATTGATTATGTTCTGGATTTCTGATTTGTTGGTATATATTTATACATTGGAACTTTATTTGTGTGCTGCTATTTCTTTTTATGGAAATAGTCCTCAGGATTGCCTCCAATATTCTGATCGCCCACCGTTCCACCCGATGCACACAGGGTTCTCCTTTCAGCTTCTTGCCTGAGCGGGCCTTGTTTGGTCTGTTTGCAGGCTTTTACCATCCAAAGTGAGGCTTGATCTATACCAAGCCTCTCTCCTAATCCATTTCAGATCCAGACTGACTGTGCTGACAGCTGCGCGACGTGTGATGTCATCATGCTGGATGACGCTGTTGCACCGCACGTCCAGTGCCCAGGGGATTGCCCAGAATCTGGCGTGGCAGGTAATTGATACAGCAATTTGCTGTCCAGCCCCGATTGGCCACTTCTCAAGCCAACGGCTGCTATATAACATTCCTAATTGTTGATCCACTACTGTGCTGCTTGCCTTTCACATATTGAGGAAAACTGCTCCATCAGATATGCACTATACTGGATTTTATAGCTCTTTGATATGCGCCCCTATATATAGTTTCTTTCCTGATTTGGTTGTAGATCAGTATTTTAATCATTGGCCCTGGAAGGGCCACTACGATTATATACTAATCCCAGTATATCATCTGATCACTACTAGCTTTATCAGCCCATCATGATCCATGTGTGAATACACTGGATTCAGTAAGGTATTCACATTTGGGGTACACAATTCCTCTATAATATTTTTTTGTTATTTACAGATATGTTCTGACATAATGGTTGTCATTCCAGATATAAAGATTTATGCTTGCCCCTCCCCTACTTTTGTTGAACAGCCTTAAGGCGCTTTTTGGTTCTACCTTTGGCAATCCCAGTGGTGCAGGTGCTTTGATCTAGTCGGTGGCTCTCCTCAGTGACCCCCTTTGCTGGCACCAGAACTTACATCAGAGTTTTTTTATCATTGGCGGCTCTCTCTCTCTCTCTCTCTCTCTCTCTCTATATATATATATATATATATATATCCACAAACACTTAAAATAGCAAGCTAGGTCAGTTATATTATTTTTAATAGCAAATGTTTTGTCCACATATTTATATGTTGGATGATATTATTATTCAACATTGCAGAATAAACACTTTGAATCTGAATGTGGTTAACCCTAAAGAAGACATATGTACATCTCGAAACAGATCGGGTGTAGCCTTCAAATACATGCCATAGTTTCCAACACTATTAGGATGTATTTTACCCTACGTGTAATAAACTAAAGAATGTTTTCTATATTCAATAATGCTATATGGATGTATTGCTGCATAAAAAAAAATCCATCTAGAGGGTTTTATTGTATTGTTCAGTTCCGTGATGAGATTCCGGATTGTTACTTCACAGAATTTGAAGCATTGTTGGATCTTGGGTCATCTCTAGCACTGTGACTCTTTGAGGGTCAGGACAGGGAGGGGATTTTAGCAAGTCCTTCCTTAGTGCTTGTAACAGGGGTGCCTTTCTTTTTACATTTAGGTGGCAGCTGAGCTTGATCCTCAGGCTCCATTGAATTTGTACGCCTCCTTGCAAGTTTGGTGGAGCGATTTAAAACATTTTCACAGTAGTGTAGAGGATAGACAGGTGTGGAAAAATGCTGTAAATGGAAAACAATGCTTTTAGAAATAGAATTGTTAATAGTTTATTTTTAACAATAACAAAATGGAAAGTAAATAAATAAACAGAAGAGGAAATCAAAATAAAGTCAATATTTGGCATGATCGGCCTTTGACTTCAAAACAGCATCAATTATTTTGTGCACAGGAACTTGGCAGGTAGGTTGTTCCAGCAACTTGATATCTTGTGAACTAACCACTTTGGATGTAGGCTTCCTCGAATCACTCTGTCTCTTCATGTAATCCCAGACAGACTCAATGATGTTGAGATCAGGGCTCTATGGGGGCCAAACTATCACTTCCAGGACTCCTTGAAGATATTTTTTAATGACATTGGCTGTATGTTTGGGGTTGTTGTCCTGTGCAGAATAAATTTAGGGCCAATCACATGTCTCCCTGGTGGCATGGCATGATGGATAACTATCTGCCTGGATTTCTCAGCCTTGAGGATACCATTGATCCTGACCAAATCTCCAACTCCATTTACAGAAATGCAGCCCCAAGCTTGCAAGGAACCTCCACCATGCTTCACTGTTGCCTGCAGACAGTCATTGTACCGCTCTCCAGTCCTTCGCTGAACAAACTGTCTTTTCCTACAGCCAGATATTTCAAATTTTGACTCCTCAGTTCAGACCACGTGCTGCTATTTTTCTGCACTCCAGTTCCTGTGTTTCGTGCATAGTTAAATCACTTCGCCTTGTTTCCACGACGGAAGCAATTTTTTCATGAAGACCACCTCTGGCCAGAGTTCTCCGGACAGTAGAGGGGTTTACCTAGTTACCACTAGTTCTGTACTGATGGCACTGCTGGACTTCCAATGTTGACAGGAAGTAAGCATGTGTGTCTTTCATCAGCTGCGTGAAGTTTATTTGGCTGACCACTGCTTCTATGGTCCTCATTGTTACCCATTTCTTTGTGCTTCTTCTAAAGAGCTTGAGCAGCACATCAGCTTTGAAATCTTTGCCTAGGAAAGACCTTGCTGATGCAGTATAATTACCTTGTGTCTTGTTGCTGTGCTCAGTCTTGCCATTGTATATGACCTATGACATGATACTGTCTTCCACAACCTCACCTGCGTAGCAGGGTTTGGCTGTTCCTCACCCAGATTTAAGCCTCCTACACAGCTGTTTCTGTTAGTTAATGACTCTTATTTCAACCTACATATAAAATTGATGATTATTAGCACCTGCTTGGTATAATTTGTAAATTATACACGACTCTATCCTACAAAATCCTGACTTTGTGTAAATGTACAAAGTGTGCAAGTGTAAGAATTGATGCCAGTTTGAGGCCAAAGAGTAGTCACACCAAATATTGATTTGATTTAGATTTTTATTCTATTCACTCACTTTGCATTTTGTAAATTGTTCAAAACAAAATATATATTTTTCAAAGCATTCTTACTTTGCAAATGTTTTAGGCAGGTGTGAAGAAATGCTGTACAGTGCTATATATTCTGATTCTTCTTGCATAGGAAGCTTCCATGTACCATACCTATTTGGTGATGACTTTTGTGGGATCAAATCCTAGTTCAGCCTTCCTCACTGGGCCTTCTTGTGTAGACTAGCTGCTCTTTTCTTGTGGACCTGATTTTGTCATCTCAGTACTGCTTGGATCTTAGAAATAGGGGATAGTTCCCCTGAATGCCTGTCCTAAAAATGTAATGGTTAGTGCAAATAAAAAAAAAAATCATGGACAGTAGTCAACTGTTTTATTACAATCAGTACAGAAATCTTATTGTTAGATGTGGTTTGCAGCAACACTTGAGACACTGAAAAGATAAGAGATCTTTTGGGGCTTGTAAACATTTGGTGTGCCAGTTTGCTTTGTATGTCTGTATTTACAAGACTTATTTTATATATACACCACTTCTTTTTATTAGTGATTAGAGATATGGCCTGGCAACCATTGTCTACAGGACAATGATAAGAAAAGCATATTTTAATTTGTAAAACACAGCCTTCCAAAAAAACCAATGCTGCTACACTTTCCTTCCACTATCAAAAATTAAAAAAAGCTTTGGCTTTAGATACAAGAGTGTTGTTCGCAAAGTAACTATTGTTTTTCCTCTATTTAATATCACCCATTCTTTCTGTTTTTCATTCCTGCCTATGTTTCAGACAGGCTGGGACACATCAGAGAGCGAACTCAGTGAAGGAGAGCTGGAAAAGAGACGACGAACACTACTACAGCAGCTGGACGATGATCAGTAGATAGACATCCTAGAGTGTTTTTCCCTCCACCAAAACTACTCTTCTGAGTTGAAACCTTTAAAAAACCTCTGCAATTCACTGATTTTATTTAGTAACATAGTGCAGTCAGATGCCGTAACTAAATACACCTGAGCTGAATAGTATTCAGACTGCAGATGCCGACTTCTACTCTTCAATTCTTAGTTACTACTTTTTGTACTGTGTTACTAAACAGAGTTTGTGTTGTTTGGATTCCTCCAGAACCTGAAGGAAACATAACAGGCTGCATCTGTATACAACATCAGCACCCAGTAGGCTTCTGCAGAAGTAGGTGTGTGATTGTGCTGCTCCCTGCTAGTGGCAGTTTGCCATTTGTTGTAAAGTAAAATTATTTATTAAAAAAGAAAAAAAAAAAAGTTTGTGTTTGACCTTTTTTCACATCCGAGAATCATTTTATAGTTTTTTACCCCAGGAAATTCTTCAGGGTTTTTTTTTTTTTTTTAATGAAGCTAAAGAAATTGTTTCCAATATCAAATAATGCATCTGTGTTGACCCAATTGAACCTTCAGTTTAAAGCTGTCAGGTGTAAAAAACATTTTAAAGCAGCGACAACCTCAGGAGAAAAGCCAGACACCTGCCAGCAGCTGAAGAGTGAGACCCTTGTTGTATATGAAGAAGCAGTGTAGACCTAAAGCTCTGCAGTCAACAAAAGCTCAATGTTCCCTGCTGACCAGGTAGCTGAGGTTTACCAGGGGGTATGTCAGACTTGCAGAGAGACCACTTTTTCTCCAAGGAGAACAAGAGTCTTAACTAAGGAGCTGCTGGCAGGGGACATACCTTTCCATTCAGGTTGTAGCTGCTTTAGAAAGAAAAACTGAAACATTGAACACCTTTTGTTTTTATACACCTGGAATGTATTTTGTTGATTAAACTGAGTGTTCAATTGGACTTTAAATGCAACATTTAGATGACTGCAGTAATAGAGCAAAGGACATTGCATATAGGAAAGAAAAAACAACAAATACCTTTTTAGTAAACTGGCACAATGCTAATAGCATGTATGCTATGCAGTTTAGGTTGTAAAAAAATACATTATATATTTACTGGTGTTAGCAAACTGCTAACCTGTAGTTTTTTAATCTATCAAAGAGTGGTCCTCAACATCATAGTTTGTACAGACCTCTAATAAAAGAATTGAGTGTTCCCTTGTTCCATGTGTCTCCATCACAGCTTTTCTTTATATGTGATTAATTTAAATGACACGTTATAACATGTTGAAGACGTTTTATACAACACAAATTATCAAATTCTCTAAGCTTTTCCATCTCCTTGCTCCCTTGTATCATTAAGGCTCGGTTCACACCATCTGACTCAACTGAAGTTGTGTGATTTTCAATGCCACTTTGGATCCTAACTTTGAAAGGAATTTTACACTCTGTGGCACTGATGCCGTATCAGCGTAGTGCAGGAACCTTTTATGAAGTTGCAGCGACTTCAGTAGTGTCAATTGGAACTTCTCTCAAAGAGATACATGGCATTTCACATGTCCAGCGACTTTAGGTTTCACAAGTCAGATCCTAGTCGCAGGAGTGTGAACCGAGCAAGCTTCACAACAAACACATCCATTCTTGCTTAGTCACTGTGTTTGACCAGACATTACAACATTGTTACCCTTATCACCGATCAGGACCATCTCAGTACCCTCTGCCTTTGCATTGTTGTAGTGCGATTCGGTCTACTCGATACTTAATAGACGTAGACTCACACATGAAATGATAGGGCTCTGCACATTTATTGATGACAAAATAAAACAATATTATAACAGAGAGCACTAAATATTTTCCTGAAACCTGACACTTAAAGAACTTAAACATGACTTGTAATAAACAATTACTGGCTTCTTAACATCAGATATAACATACTGTACATGGTTAATACACTGAGAAAAGGTATGGAAGGGCACCTTCTCTGACACCACACTGCTCTGCATGTCTGTGGGCTCTGGAGAAGGACAGGAATGTATTCCACATGCAGAATTATTACAGTACAGAAACCACAAGCTTGCAGCAGGCCTCTGTTCTCTTGTGCATGCATTGCAATCATAGCACTTCTGGAGGTGGGCAAATAAACTATAGGTCATCAAACTGTCATCACTGTTTTTGGGGCAAAAACAAACAGCCAACAGTGTGTTCTTGTAAACGAAGTGTGGGTGGCAAGGGCTATAGTATAGTGCATGAATAGGAGTCTCTAGGTTTAGCAGGATAAGATGCATAGCAGCTGCAAAGAATAATATGGCTTTTTCCCCAGTTTAGGAAAGGCACTGTATAAGGCACCATTCACGTGGGCATTTTGCCACGCTTCAAATCCTAGGAGCACTTTATCCAAAACACATCCAAACACAATCACCGCAGGAGATCACCAGCCTGTCCCTGCAGTGTATGGGCTCGGCGGCTGCTGTTATCAGCACACAGCTGTCAATCCTAGCAGCGGGAATCAGTAGATTCTTGCCAATAGGATTTGCAGTGGGGCAAAATGCCTGTGCGAAGGGTGCCTAAAAGATAGCACAGGAATAAAAACTACCACTTCTATTGAGCTTTGGTCTTATAATTTTGTATTCGCAATGTATACATTCAAAGTCATTGGAACTTACACATGGGTACGTTTGCTCTTGTTTTACACAGCTTCATACATGGCAAACACCTTAAAGGTACTATACCATTCACTATATGTACATTGCTAACCAGGCAATGTTTCCTTTTTATATAGTAAACACGTAACTTGGAATGTTACAATAGAACTACACAGCGGTCCCTGCAATTTCTGACAAACAAAAAAAACATGGAATGTTACTGAAATAATGACAAAGAAATGTTGTTAAAAAAATGAAGAAAAAGAAAAATCTTTTCTTCCGAACAGTCGCAAGCTAAGTTTTCCCTGTGATTAAAATAATCATCACTGTCCTCTTTAAAATGTTTGACCAAAAATATAGTCAAAAGACCCCTCACTTAAAATCTTAAATAAAAAGAAGAAACTACAATAAGTTTGTCTTGTAAACTGACAGTAAGACTTTAGTAAGCAAAAAAAAAAAAAAAAAAAAAGCAGATTCCCTAATGCCAAAGACTTGGTCCAATTGTCTACCAATCAGGTTGACAAGCTGGATTTAAATTTGCTGATCTGAACAATTTAAAAATAAATTATCATTAATCAAAAATGTAGATGTATCATGGACTATTGAGTCTGATACAGAGGTATGCCAATCCCAAACCTACCAAAGTATAAAAAAGAGACTTCACTGTGAAGTATGTATGGGTAGGAATGGGAAAGAATGGTAAAACACATAGTTCAGATACAGCTTAAATATATATAAATATATCATAGCAAAATAAAGTGTGCAGACTGGAAATATCACTGCATAAACATTTTTGTCCTGCGCAGAGTGGACTGTACCTGTCATGTACAAAAAACATAGGCAGTCATTTTGTGGATTTGACCTATATTTACAATACTATCAATTCCTATAAACTGGTAGCATCACTGCATTCCTATTACATATTGCAATCATGTTATTAGTATATAGGAAACTGATATTGGCCCTCCTGGCTTGTCTGCTCTTTGTAGGTGACAGGTACACAGGAAAGGAGATTGGTGTCCAAGTTGCTTTTATACAGCTACAGTGTGTAAAAGTGTATACACAATTACCGCTTTATTGTTTGAGTGAAAGCACAATGCTGCTACAATTTAATAAATTCATCATAAGGCAGGACCAATTAGATGGGTACACAGCTTTGCAACATTAATATTTAAAACAGCAATAATGTAATTCTGAAGAAGCAGCATTGCATTTACACTTTTACATACTGACGCAAATAAAAGCAATGCTAACAGCATTAGGTACGCTAGACATCGTAGTGTACATACAGCTATATTGTTATAAAGATGCAAGGAGCAGAAAGGCAGCATGAGAGGAATTTGCAGGACAGGTATATGGCAGCTGCCACTGCTGGTATATAAAAAATGGATATCATCATCTGTGCTTCACCAATTAGTGAGTCAGTGACCTGCACCAAGCATGTGCATACCAGATGTCTTCCCCACACTACATGCTACACACACACATGCTACACACACACGTCAGGTCACTGATTGGACTAAGTAGTAAAATAAGGGTAAGGATGGCAGCCATGGAAGTTGCATCTTCCCCCCCAAAAAAAAGTCAGCAATGACAACTCCCCTTGTTTCTATCCTGATCGGTTACTTTTAATCAGATTTATGGTCCCACTTAGAAGACAACATTTCATCTGTAAATGTCTGGACACCAAATTAAGTCAAAGACTTGACATGCCTGCCCACCTAATGCATACCTACATCACACAGTGCTGCTTATGTAACAAAGTATTCATTCTTCTTCCACCAGCTGTGACGTTTGTGAAGCTGACCCAATAGACTTCGGCATTCAATTGCCCAAACATGTTGCATCTAGCGAAGTAGTCTATTGAAACAAGTGTATGTTGCTCCTCCACAACTATTTCTAGAGCTCTGCTGGCAAAATCCCTCTTTGTGATTAGCTGTCTCAGCAAATAACTGACAAAACAAGGTAGTGAAGAATGTGGGGGATGTGTTACCTGCATCAGGACAGGCAGGCAGAAGGTACACATGATTCAATAGACAGTTCAGCTGACAGCATGACATATCAGCAGCTGGGTAAACAACCCCATAAACCATCAGTTCTGCACTAATTTCATTATATATGTGATTTCTCTACAACTTTCTGACGCAAACTCAAAATTTTGACACATTTCCTTTTTCTTCCCACTATGATCAGGATAAAGTAAATAAAATATGTAAAAATGCTCTTGCTATATTAACCTTACCAAAGCCAGAAGGCATACATTTAACATTACCAGCCCATTCCACCACAAAAGGCTTCAGTCTTTACATCACATTAGTGTTCAATCTACCTAACTGCATAAAAAAACGTTTAACACTTACAAGGCACTTTTTCTTATTTTGCCCAGAGCAGCCAATCTTGGTCTGGCAAACTTAAAAAATATTTACAATTTCAACAGTAAAAACTTAAGAAAATATAAATAGTAAAAGAAAAATAGTTCTATAATACTGTAGCAATAAGGCACTTTTTCTTCTATTCTCTGAAGTGTCCCGGCTTCTTCATTTCCCTTAATATGTGGAGCACAGTCACCTGCTGTGTGTTTTAGTTCATCTACTCCAAGGAGCAACATACACAGCAAAGCCTGACCCGGCTCATGGGACTGGATGTGCTAGCTCCGCCTCCAGGCATGCCGCAGAACTGCATCTGCACGTCTGAAGGGCTGATTACGGAGATCTGAAAAAAGATAAAACAAGTGCGTTGTCAGATAATGTGCACCGAGGACAAGAGAGCTCTGGGGCTGAAGCAGGCAAAGGCAATTGTACGCATGAGACTGGAAGCTTTAGAGTTGAGAGTAAGTGCTGGAAAGGGAAAACCTTTAGTTGGACATGTAATAGTTATTAACACAACTCCTAAGGCACTGAACCTGTCTGCAAAGTCTGTACTAGAATTTTGTGAAGCTTTCTTCTAAGATAAACTCAACCTCCTATGTATAGCAAATTTGAAATTGTTAGAGCACAAAACAAGCCAACTTTTTGGTAAATAGTGTACACTACTGTTCTCATAATTTTCTGTTTGTAGAGAGTGCTTACGTATCCATTCAGTCAGACAGGAAATGCACATCAGAGGCATGTAGAGACATGGAATGTCATTTCTGAACATACATTTCATAGACAGTTGGAGGTAACTCTAGCTCCACTGTGCTCAGATCTGCATGTGGCCCTGCAATGCTTGCTTACAGTGGAAGTAAAGTCCAATCTTTAGTTTGTACCTACAGTGAAGAAAATAAGTATTTGATCCCCTGCTGAGTTTGAATGTTTGCCCACTCACAAAGAAATGATCAGTCTAAAAATCGAATGGCAGGTGTATTGTAACACTGAGAGACAGAATAGCAACAAAAAATTCAAAAGGAATGCATCTCTAACAAATTATGCACTGATTTGCATGTTCATGAGGGAAATAAGTATTTGATCCCTTCACAAAACATGACTTAGTACTTGGTGGCAAATCCCTTGTTGGCAAAACACAGAGGTCAGACGTTTCCTGTAGTTGGCCACCAGGTTTGCACACATCTCAGGAGGGATTTTGGCCCACTCCTCTTGGCAGATCCTCTCCAAGGCATTAAAGGTTTGTTGGCTGATGTTTGGCAACTCAAACTTTCAGCTCCCTCCACAGATTTTCAATCAGATTAAGGTCTGGAGACTGGCTAGGCCACTCCAGGACCTTAATGTGCTTCTTCTTGAGCCACTCCTTTGTTGCCTTGGCCGTGTGTTTTGGGTCATTGTCATGCTGGAACACCCATCCATGACCCATTTTCAATGCCCTGGCTGAGGGAAGAAGGTTCTCACCCAAGATTTGACGGTACATTGCTCCGTCCATCGTCCCTTTGATGCGGTGCAGTAGTCCTGTCCCCTTAGCAGAAAAACACCCCCAAAGCAGCATGTTTCCACCACCATGTTTGACAGTTGGGATGGTGTTCTTGGGGTCATAGGCAGCATTCCTCCTCCTCCAAACACGGCGAGTTGAGTTGATGCCAAAGAACTCGATTTTGGTCTCATCTGACCACAACACTTTCAACCAGTCCTCCTCTGTATCATTCACATGTTCAGTGGCAAACTTCAGACGGGCCTGGACATGTGCTTTCTTGAGCAGAGGGACCTTGCAGTCACTGCAGGATTTCAATCCTTGTCAGCGGAGTGTGTTACCAATTGTTTTCTTGGTGACTGTGGTCCCAGCTGCTTGGAAATCATTGACAAGATCCTCACGTGTAGTTCTGGGATGATTCCTCACTGTTCTCATGAGCAATGACACTCCACGAGGTGAGATCTTGCATGGTGCACCAGACCAAGGGAGACTGACAGTTGTTTTGCGTTTCTTCCATTTGCGAATGATTGCACCAACTGTTATCACCTTCTCACTAAGCTGCTTGGCGATAGTTTAGTAGCCCAGTCCAGCCTTGTGTAGGTCTACAATCTTATCCCTGACATCCTTAGACAGCTGTTTGGTCTTTGCCATGGTGGAGAGTTTGGAATCTGATTGATTGCTCCTTTGGACAGGTGTCTTTTATACAGGTAACAAAATGAGATTAGCAGCACTCCCTTTAAGAGACTGCTTCTAATCTCAGCTTGTTACCTGTATGAAAGACACCTGGTAGCCATCCTGCCGAATGATAGGGAATCAAATACTTATTTCCCTCATGAACATGCAAATCAGTGCATAATTTGTTAGACATGCATTTCTTTTGAATTTTTTGTTGCTATTCTGTGTCTCAGTGTTACAATACACCTACCATTCAATTTTTAGACTGATCATTTCTTTGTGATTGGGCAAACATTCAAAATCAGCAGGGGATCAAATACTTATTTCCTTCACTGTACAAGTAAGCCTATAATAAGGTTACCTGTAGATACAGAGAATATCTCCTAAAGTCCACTGTTTAGAATATACAGTATTCGCACAGGATACAGTGGTGACACCATCGGTGCATGCACTCTGAAGGGACAGCATGCCTGTACCGTTCCTTCAGAGCTCTGTGCCGTGGACATGATGCACGCGGGAGTGTCGTCTTTGCGGCTCGGCCATTCATACAGCTGGAGCCCACGATCCCGAAAAGAAGACCGGGTAAAGATGGAAGTCCTGTCAGTGGTGACAGTGTGCTGCTGGAGGGCTTTGTTCTAACATGGAAGTAAAGGCAAATCTTAACTAACTCTAAACCTTCTCTCAGCCACATTATAAGCCTAATTTATCTGGCCCTGTAAAGAAAAAAAAATCACTATACTTACCTATTCTGCAGGCGCTCCGGTCCAGTCTCCAGCGGCACCCTTTGTGTGCTGGAGGCAGCTGACAATGGTTGGGAAATGCTTGGGAAGTGAGGCCACCCATAAAGTTACTATGGGACTTCCGCTGTCAGCTGCCACTCAGCGTGGGACTGGACTGGAGCAGATGCAGAACAGGTAAGTATAGTGATTTTTTTCTTTACAGAACTAGATAGATCAGGCCTAAAATGTGTGTAGAGAGTAGGTTTAGCATTAGTTAGAATTTGCCTTTACTTCCACTGTAAGGTAAGTATGCCACAATGTACTAGCATGCAGTGCATACTATCGCATTAGAACATTAACTTGCAGGTAGACTTTTTTTTTTTTTTCCCCCCATTACGGACTTTACTACCACTCTAAGAGTAGATGTCATTAAAAAGGTGCTTTGTATTCCCTTTTTCAGACACAGTCTGCTATGAAGGGAGAGCTGATCATAAGTTCACTGAGTACACATTAATAGACATAGCTTATGGCAAAACTTGCTAATCTGGTGATAGTTCACAGGCATCTGGCCCTACTTTTATCACATAAAATGTATATGTCCCAGTGCACTTCAAACCAGGTTATTGATAAAACGAAAGCCTTTACATCTAGGTGGCAGACCACCCCTGATCTGTACAGCAATTTGTGCACTTTGCAAAAAAGCAAATGTTGGCCTTTCTTCTACATCAAAACGGATACATCAAAGGTCTGTACAGGAGTTAAATACTTTTTAGATACTAGAAACTTTCAAGTTGTGACCTTGCAAAAGTCCCTGCTTAGTACACAGTTTTTCTTGCTTCTAGCTGCACCTAGTAACATGTTCTCTTTTCTTTGGGCACAATCGCATTAACGGTCTACAAGTTCAGATCTTAACCCTGTGTGGGCTGGTATCAACAGGCACAGCATGTCAATCACTTAAAGCAAATGCGTGTTAAAAGGAGACACATTTGGCACAAGGCAGAAGCAGCGTAGCCAGCAATAGCCATTATACAGGAAGATCAGCTGTCCCCCTTCTTACCCTCTGCAAGAGAAAGGAAACTAAAGATGAATCTTCCTGGTAGCTAATCTGAGAGATAAAATAGAAAGGAAGGTATATAACTAGGAGAATGAAATTAAAGAGAAGTATATCAAGAGCAGCACTCTTTCCCTCATATGGGAGAAAAAAAAAGCGCTCTACCAATAACTTCTTCTCCACACAAGTTCCTATGGAGGTCACACTGCTCTCGCCAGTGGTTATATATAAACAGCAGGAGTGCAGGATAGGCAATATTCTACACAAGCACAGCTAAGCCAGGGAGGTGGCTTATGATGATTATGGCCAGTTGACACTTGCACCGGTCTTAGTTGTTTCCATACTCTGGGTTCCTGAGGCCCAGTGACATGTTCTCCCCCATTACTTGGTAAGGGCACATCTGCATTTTTAATACCTGTGTATGAGACCTGCACTAGCTATTTCAGCTAAAAGACATGAATTGTTAGGAAGCCTTGAAGGCTAGATTGTGTATGGAGCCAATATATCAAAAGGTCAAAAAGACAATTGTACATACAATTGGTATTAATAGTACAGGGGTTCAATATCTTCCCTCATGATAAGATCTACAATAAGGTAGCATTCTCACAGAAGATCTAACTATGATGTAACTTGGTGAAACTTCACAAACCTTCTCCCCATGGCTATACACTGTGCTTTGTGTGAACATTGAATGCTCCTACAGAAGAGTATGTAGGTGTCACATGCAGTCAGGTGCATCGCAGGGGATTAGTAATCATGACTACAAGGTTAAAGTGCAAGGCCTGGGCATGCATTCCAGTGTTCTCCATGAAAGGCCATCCATGGCCAGACAAGGAAGGTCACAATGCATGCAGAATTATACCTTTACATACTTTTTAAAGGCATTGGGCTTAACAGTTTGAATCCTCAAATAGGGATGTATCACAGAAGAAGCGAGAGCCCCTCTTGGCTGTTCTGGCTGTGAAGGGGACACTCTTCAGGACTGCAGCCATCAATGCAGGTTGGGGAAACAGAGAAACACATACATGGTCAAACAAGGCAAACTGAAAAGAGAGGTTCAGCAGCCCCCAGTAGTGAGGACTAAATACATTGGGGCAGGAAGGAGGATACATTTTAGAGAGATAATATTAAATTAACTCACTTGCTAACTAAAACACCCACCTGTGATTATGTCCTCAATGGTTCCATCCTTTCCTTCATATACCGGTCGATGGTCCTTGGCTTGCCGCCGCCGCAGCTCTGCTATTAAATCATGTTGCTGACGTTTATTTTTCTGCACTGGAGACTAGAGAAATCAGAATAGTGTGTAAAACATTAGATATATGTCCTTCTTCATTCAGTAAACTTTACTGTCCGAAAATAGAATACATTCATATCAACCAATATGCCTTATTTTGATCACATGAAAAAAAATCTATTTCCTGTGGAAAGATCTCAACAGTAATAAATGATGAATATGAGGATTTTACCAAACGGTTGGCAATCCTTGTTCACTGAGGTGGCTTTAATGAGGGGATATGGAAGTATTGCCAATAACCAAACTATTTTAATTATTCTAGCTGTTATTTTCACTTTCGAGACCAGCTAAACCACTACTGGCTAGTTCCTGGAGTTGTAACGGAACACATCTATGTATTTCCTATGTTTTTTGGGGTAAACACAGTATGTACGCTCTTGGAATCAAGATTTAGGAGGATATTGGATGCAAGTTGCTGTAAATGTCCACTGCAATACATAAACTATGAGATCTTCAAACAACAGAAAATGTAACAGACTCAACATGACAAGAGATAGTACTGGCAGACTGCGCTATGGATTGGATGTTCCCCCACACTTCATCAGTGCAAGCGGTGGTAACACTTTATAGGGCAACAGAAGCTACTGAACGCAAAACACAAAAGGTTTAACCAGCGAGACCAGAAAAACATTCTAGCAACAACATTGATGCCCTTTCTCAAAATGTCCATTCAAAACCCTACAACCTGCAAGACTCCCGTGATGCCGAAGTATATAATGTGATTTTAGCATTTCCTCCTTATAAATATAACTACACAGGTAAAACCTTTTTTCTGGTTTTGGATAGAGAGGAGAGGGTTAGAACACCTCGCAGTTTTTATTGCTGCCTGTGCCCTTATTAGGGAGATTCCCCCTCTCCATTTATCCTGTTACTGTTATCACTGAAAGTGAAAGAAAATCCCACAATCAGAACAGAAATAGATGGGAAATCTTCCGATGGGGACAGCAGTTTTGCAGACCCTGACCCCGGTTCACATATATGCGGCCGTGCGGGCCACGTTTTGCATGCGCACAAGAGCCCATTCATTTGAATGGACTCCCGTGCCTGTGGGACGCAGGGAAGAATCCCTGCACTTCTTTGGAAAACGCAGCCTGCACGGGAACCTCGGTTCCCAGTACGGTTGTGTTTTCCAGTGTGGGCGGCGTGCCATTAGAACGAATGGGACCCGCCCACGGGTCCGCATTCCTCTGTGCGGGTGGTACGGCTGCATGGATTTTTGTGCGGATCCGCAACAGCACCACCCGCACAGATGTGAACCTAGGGTGATGAAACACTGGCATTCCCTCGCTCTTTGGTGGGATTTTCCCTCACTTCCTGCTTAGCTATGGGACTGGAACTCTGATAAAAAAGCGACAATTATAAACAAGAGTTGTATTAAAGCAGAACTAAACCCTCCTATCAAGCAGGATGCCATTTTAGCCTCTGTTTGGCCTACAGTTGCCATGGTGCCGCACATCGGATCAGTTATAACACCAGCCATATGATAGCTTGACAGTTTGGTTGGGAGCGAACATAAGCACATTAGTAACTAATGGTTATCATTCATAGCATGCCTTGAATGTAATGGTTTTCGAAGACTCTTAAATCGGTGAGTTTAGTACCACTTTGAGGACTCGTTCACACCATAACGCGGGTTTCCCACATCACATTCCAGGGTGAACAAGCCCTTAAAGCGGAACTAAACCCACCGATTTCCTGCGTCACATTCAAAACGCACTGGGTGTGCGATCTGCTGTGGGTGTCATTATATTTCTTTTACAAAAGATTTTATTAAGCCTGTTAAAGAGAAACATACAAACCATAACAAATCATATGATACAAAGCGACAACAAACAATAAAAGACAGGGAAACATCACACAACAAACACAGAGGTACACATACAAGACCCATGCTGGGGTCCAGATAACACTACGAAAGGCAAAGGGCTGCAAGGCCCACAACCACTTTCAGAAATATAAAAGCTACATACAAGAAGGCAACAAAAAGAAAACACATAGAGAGCCACGATCTCATGAGCAAACATTGTCCCTGAGAATCATAGACCTGTAAGATGATAATAATAACTGATAGACAATCGGTTTAATATAAACAAACCATAAAAAAGAGGAGAGAGAAAACAGGAAAACAAAAGAAAGAAAAAGAGCAGAGAGAAAAAAAAAAAAAAAAAAAGAGACAGGCCAGCAAGGAAGAGGAGTTCGCCTTGGGGGGGGGCCGGGAGACACGATCCCCACATAAGCGGAGTGGAGAGGCAAAACCCAACACATCATAGATTAGTTAGTTTTGCGGTAAAATGAGAAACCGGTTGATAATCCACCCACGATTGCCAAACAGAAAGAAACTTATCATGTTTATCCTCTAATACCGCTGTCAATTTTTCGTTGATAAAAGAAACCTTGGATTCTGGACCTGACCTCCTCAAATTGTAGAGTAAGGGATTTCCAAGAACCGTTAATAGTCTGCTTAGTAGCCATAGAAAAAAAAAAAAATTGACCAATGAGCGTGGTCCATGAGGTAGGTCACGAAGTGGCTTAAAAAGTAAGGCCTCAATAGGATCTTTTTTAAACTCTTCACGCCGGCCGAACACAAATGTGCAGCCTCCTGACGTCTGGGCCTAGACGCCTAGCGGCCGCACATTTCCATTCTATTAAAAAAAGACATATGTGCTGAGAGCGCGCGCCCTGCACGTTCCCAGCACACATGTGCGGTACTCACGAAAAGGTCCCGATCTCCTCTTTCGATTGGGACCTTTCCATTTCATGTGTCACGGTGGTCACATGACCCTAAACCCGCCCCGCTTCCCGGCTTCTGAAACCTTAAAGGGACGGGAGGCGCCGGCGCGAAGGGGTTAAGGTTAATGGACATAACTGAATAAATAAAAGATTATAAACTCTAGTCCACAAGCGGCGGGCCACTGGACAGGTCCACCAAATGTGGAGCATTGTACCCTCTAGAGAGCAGCCTTGAAAACACTGAGAGTTATAAACAGGTATAAATTTAGCTAATGGAGATGGGGGTAAAATATCATCTTGAAATCACTTTATAGGAATTCTCTAATGCCAGTATGTTACCAGATCAGTGGGAAACTCCTTGCCACATAGACCCCCAATCCTCAACAGAAATTTCCGTCTGAAGCTCCAAATTCCATTGTGCACAGTAAGCAGGCAAAGGTTCAGCCATATGATTCCGGATTGATAGATAAATTTGAGATGGGTGTCAATATATGTCTAACAACACCCCAAACGCAGATTGCAATTGCTTTTGCCTCGAACAGATAGCATGGTACCACAGTACCATGCGATCCAGCTGCATTGCATTTTTGAAAAAGTAGTGTAGCACTACTTTTAGTGTGATCCAATGCAATAACAGCCCATTAAATGAATGGCCTTAGAAATCGCACTGCACTGAGTTGCATGGGTACACAGAGCGCATTCCTGTGCGATTCGGGTGTGAACTGGCCCCAAAAGATTTTACACCTTTATATTGTAAGTTCTCACAAGCAGCATCCTCCTAACCCTCTTAACTTGAATTACATTGTAACTCTGCTGCTTCCCTTTATTTTATAAAGTGCTGAGCAAACTGTTTAGGCTACATTAACCCCTCTATAATAACAATACACAATCACATTCTAAGATATTCAGGGGCACTACCAACCACGACTGCAAATACAACCTCTTACCCCAGTCTTTTTTTCCCTGAGCTTTGACACCTTAATTCACAGGCCCAAGCATTGTTTTGTTCTGATTCCCACTTGTCTGCATTCTGGGCTGTACATTGGTAGTACAACATGACTACAGATCAGAACTGAGAACAACTAGGAAGGCATCACTTCATAAATCTGCTTGAATCAATGTCCTCCTGATAGCAGAAGCAATGAAGGTGCTGCTTGTATTTCAGTGTGCAGGACCATTTGTGCCACAGTCCATGGTGCTTAGAGGCACTTCAGTGATGTAGACTATACCTTAGGGTCCATCTTCTTTGCTTCTTGTGCCAATAACTTCTCTCGTAGAACTTCCTCCTGCTTCTTGCGCATCTCGTTCTCAAGCTCAGCATCCTAGTTTGTTAAACAGAACAAATCAGACCTGTTATCACTTTCATGGAACGGTCATATGACTCTTCTCTATATACATAATTGAACAGACTTTGTAGAGAAAACACACTAAGGCAATTAATATGGACTGGCAGCATAGTTCCATACATATATATTAATGGAATATGTGACTTCACCACTTGGCGGGGTGTTACTGGTGGTTGGGTGCTTCTTCAGCTTGTTCACCTGTCAGCTCTAGTGTCCCGAAAAAGATGAACTGTGATCAATCAAATACTTGTTCCAACTTTATTCAATGTGAATAACCGTGGGTGCCTTTCAACTATGTTGGATACAAGAAGCTTTAGGCCTCATGCACACTGGACGTTTTCCTAGAAGCCGTTCCTCCTGGCAGCATTGTTTTGGAAAAAAAACAGCTGACATTTGTAAAAAAAAAAAGTGTATAATGCGTTTAGGCGCATATAGCCAGGGCTGTGGATAAGGGGTACCACCAGTCCTCCTGTACAGGGCGCAGGCCAGCAGTGGGGCCCAGGCAGCTGGGTGAGTTGGATGTGGGCAGGGAGGGTGAGCGGCACGGCTGGGGGCAATTACTGGAAAGATCCTCTGAAAGCTGGCTTCTCCTCTCCCTCCCACTGGCTTTCAGCTGCTGCAGAGCGAGCCATACAGGGGATCAGTTCCAGCAATTGCCCCCCCACGCTGCACCGATCATCCTCCCTGTGCACCATACATTTCCCCCCTGTGTGTCCCCTCCCCTGCAGTGCTGCTGGCTTCCCTCTGCTCCTCATCACCGGCAGCTGCAAGCATGCAATAGGATCCTTCAGGATGGAGAGTGGGGGAAATATGTCCCATTTATCAGCCCCTTCCTTCCCTGAATGAACAGTTAATGATTGGTACCTATCACTCACTGTGTTCACTCATAACTGAAGCAGAGTAAACAGTGTACTTTTTTTTAGGGGGGGCCTGTCAGGTTGGCTGTATGGGGCCCCGTGGTTTCTAACAGCAGCCATGCATATAGCCGTGTCAAGCATTTAGATGTAAATTACTTTTGTTGGCTAGAATAAATCATTTATTCTGACCATTGAAATTAATTAACGCTCAAGTGATAAACACGCATTTAAAAGAGTCAAGATTGTTTTCTGCCAGAACTCTGCTGCACCTCGATGCACTGGAAGTGGGTTTTTTTCCCACCTCTAAAGGTTTGTGTGTGTATAGACGCATAGGCCAACATGAGCGGGAGTTTATAGGGGAAAAAAACAAACAACCGATGGACATCCCTAGGAGCAGCTGTAAAAATGTCTGGTGTGCATGAGAACCTATATGTGGAAGAGTACCTGCGCACCTTTCCTGTATACGGAGTGCAGCGGCCATCTTTGGGTTTAGTATATATATATATATATATATATTTATATTATATATACTAAATGTGTGTCTGAAGTGATCAACCATTCTCTGTGTGTTTATAATAAAGATCAGTTACTGAAGTTCTAGTTTCTAGTTTGTGCTAACAGAGCTCATTACACTGCAGTATGTATGATCCACTGTGACCCGTCATTTAGATTCCTACGTGGAGCATGTGATTGTGATAGCACTCCAGTAGGGCAGCAAGGCTAAGATGTTTCTGGAGAGAAGTGGATCAAAGGACAGTCTCTTTATGTATCCACAAGGATCCTTCTCTCCTTACTGTAGTCCAACTTAGTGGACAAGAAGTGTTTTACTCAGTCACTAGGTAGGTGGCCACACCCTGACCAAGAACTTTTTCCTGTTGAAACAATGGCAGGAAGGAGCCTGCCTTCTGCGCACACATTAAACTACACAGGTGCTTCTAAAGCACCAAGTAAATGCGCATGCCGGTATGTGACACGGGGTTTAGCATGTATACCTTGTATGATTTGATGAAACGAGCGAATACTGGAAAGAACACGGAGGGCGGCGTTGTCTTTGGATTTTCTCCAAAGTAAAGCACCACAGCTGCGTATGCTTCCTGCAGAAGAGAAAAAAAAAGAGATCTGGAGATACTGCTGCCTTCTAAAGGCTTATAGAACTTCACAAGTCTACATTTCCTGCAGGCACAGTGAAGGGAAGGGTGGGAGGGGAAGAATCACAGTGGGACGGATTGCTAAAAATACCCAGACAGAACATTCAAATAAGGCAGGAAAAAACAACTGATAGAGGCAAACAATACACGCAACTGAAAAAAAGATATTTTGTCACAAGCAAAGAAAGCATAAGGAATGCCTGTATAAACCAGCTTATATACTACGGCTATGGCAGCATCACTGAAAAAGGGAAACCATCTGGAATGCTGCCATTTCATCTACTATATATGTCCTCGAACATTTAAAACTGAATGCCAGGGGCACAAAAACTTTCCTATAGATATATTAACTGGCCACAAAGGATATAAATTCACTTTGTGTGCCTTTGCAAACCCAGACGTTACCTTTTCAAGCAGCAGTGACACATCATTGGGCTGCACATAGTGCTAGAAAGTAGAGCTTTGGTGAGGCCAAGAAACTACAGGATGGGGCAGATATAAGACCACACACTCTGCACAAACAGAGAGAGCAGCAATGACTGGTCTTTATTACAAGGAACCCCTGCACAGAGGAAAAGTGCAGGAAATGTTGCATGTTGGATTACTGAACATATGTAGAGAAAATATACAAAGAACAATAAGATTCAATTAACAATACACATAGCGTTTGTATTTAGACATGATTTGTTTTGCTGGGGATTTAGCTTTGAATTCGAATCATTACCATGATAGCTGGAGGTCTACATTTCCAGCGAGTCATTAGTCATGCCCACAGTGAATAAAGCATATATAGTACCTTGTGAAAAAACTTGGGATTGGTGCCACACCACATATGGACTGTAAATTTGAATCACTCGTATTTATTAAAATTGACACCAAGAAAAATGTTCCTCCAACTTCCTTCTCATCCACTCCATCCCCATTTTCTTCTCAGCCATTAATCAGGATTGCTGCTTTGTAAAACCACATCATTACCTCAAAGCTAGTTAAAGGAGAAGTACAGTCAAAGCTCATTTGGCTGTAGTTCTCCTGTGGATCACAGGAGTGCAGTTCTTTCTGCATTTCTTTGACCCGTTTTCAACTGATAGTGGGCTGAAGGCCGCTGTCGGCTGACATCACTCAGCCAGTCCAGGCTGGGGAAAGATCCCGACTTTCAAGTTAGAATCCATCTCAGCGATTTGCTGAGAGCCTGAGCCAGCCTTCCTTCTCCACAGCCCAGAGCTCCAGTGAGCTCTGGGAGGAGGGAGGCTGAGCAGAGAGCGGTGACTGACAGTCAGTGCTCTCTGCTCACAGCAGCAGTGAGAACTCATCAATCAGCGGTCATGTGATCTGAGTTCTCACACGGACTGATGCTGCATCCACCTAAGTATAATTTTGTGGGGAAAAAAAACCAAACTTCTGTTAAGTGGTGAGAAAATTGACTAATTCTACCAAGCAAGTGTGGAGAAGCAGTTTTTTCCCCAAAATTTGGTTAATACTGCATGGTGCTGGCTTCTGATTTGCCACGGCCAGCTTCAAGCGGGGTGAGCTGGATTTTACAGATGAGATGTTGAGCAAAGCAATGAGGCCTGAAGCAGAAGAAGGATCTGTATTATACTAATTGGGCTTTCTAGAAGTTTACCTATTTTATGTTAAATGGTGATATATGATCTCATCAACTCCTGTACATTGATGTCCAATATAAAATTGAACACACAGGTTAGGCTGTTAAAGGTGAATTTTCTTTCCAAAATATTTGAAATTCTGCGTAGCCAATTGTGAATGTCACACAAAGCCCGACACACTATATGCAGTATGTCACTCCTATTTACTGTTGCAAAACTGTATCATTAACTGTCAGCTTCTCTTTTACAAAGTAACTACCTTTCCCTCCAGCTCTTAGTACCTAAAACATGTTCACATAACAGCACTACACAGTGCAGTAGAATCTGAGTGGCTCATTGCTCATTTATCACTGAAAAACTAACAAAAGGCACATCCCAGATACCCGGGTATACATCATTATTGGCACACATATTCAGAGATAGTATTGACAGGGCTGGTTTATACTATATATGTAATAATTAGTCTACCACTCACTTTACTCTCTTTCCTATGCTCAGCTTTCTGCTCCTACTAATACTGCAAGGCAGTGCTGTATTTAGGTTTTGTGCTGCCCTAGGCAACGCAAAGGTTTGTCTGCCCCCATGGACATGAACCAACACCACAACTCTTTCCCCCTCTTGTGGATAGAGCCTGACATTGACCAACAACATCCCTACCCCCCACCTGGTAGAGCCTTCCACTAAACCCCCGCAATAGAGAAAAATACACTCATCTCCACAGCTCCGGACATCCTCGGAAACGAGAGTCAGGCTCTACATACACAATCAAGCAGCCTGCAGCATCTCTCAGATCCCACCTAGTCCCCATGGTGTGCATGTCCCTTCTTCCATCCCTTCTTCTGGGGGGAGGTGCTGCCCCCCTGAAAAATGCTGCCCTGGGCAAGTGCCTTGTTTGCCTTGTGGTAAATACACCCCTGCTGCAAGGTGCACAATGCATAGGATTTGTACAGGTAACACAACTGAAGGATTTTTTTTAAAAACACATTTATAGTTACAGTTCTGCTTGCGACAGAGACAGTTCTTTTGGTAGAACTTATCTTTTGTAATAGCATGTAAACCCTATCAATAAACTTCACTTATTTGCTACATTTTGGCCTGTTAAATGTACAATCCAAATCATTTTATATATCTGTTCAATGGTGTCAGAAATCCAGTGCTGTACTGTGTTCTCTGCAGTGTTTTCTCAAGCAGTGTGTTGTCAGCCCTGCTCAGCTCACCTCTGGACTACAGAACACCTACTTCTATGTTATTGAGATGAAGGAAATGGGAGTGATTCTCTAAGAGTCCTACCATAATTCCTGGCCTCTTAACGTACTTCCTATCCTAGGGTGACCATGTTACTAATCCATAGATACAATACAGTAAGAGAGCATAGTCAAGCTAAGACACAGTGTATTACTGGCATCATCAGGTAAAAATAAAAGGAAAAACACCACAAAGAAATAAAACAAATACAGATGCTAATAGTAGATACACAACAAATATTTTTTAATCCGGGCATAACTGGATTAAAGGTGGGTTAGTATTTGCCTTTAGCACTGTAACAATACTTTCGATGTACTAACCTCTGCTGTTTTGGCATCCTTCTGAAGCTTGTCCAGTTTTCCTTCATTGCTACTCACAAAGTTCCTGAGAACACTATTGTCATGATGACTGCTCTCCTTGCGGATTAAGTCCATCCCTTTCCCAAGCTCTTTTACATCCATAAGGACATTTTCAAGAGACACTGGACAAAACAGAAATGAGTCAATATTTGCTGTGTATCTCAGATGGAAAATTCCCCTTACTTCATGTACAAGTGAGGCAGTATGTGTTAGGGACTGACAGGGACAGGAAATAAGGGGAAACCTTTCATTTGAGGACACAGATGTATGAGTTTGACAGATGTTCAAAATTTTCCTCTTTTATCCAAAAATAAATGTTTTGTGTGGAAAGGTTTTTAAAAACATCATTGGACTGAGAGGCAAAACACTCACCAATAGAAAACGCTTTGAGCAGTTTGTTGAAGCCAGACTAACGTAAGAAAATTTCAGATTGGTTGTAATGGACAGTCGCAGACAGTGACAGAGTTCTTACCTGCTGCTGCCTTCTCCACAAAGTGAAGTTCATTGTAGAATGTGGCCACCTCAGGATACTTCTCCTTGGCAATCAAGGCAATGAAGTTAAGCAATGTCATCTTCCTGTCTGTTGACTTTGTGTCTTGCAGCTGGATCAGATGGTGAATTGTAGTACAGAAGAGAAATACATTATATTTACAGCCCTAGCTCTGTGCGTACAGAAAAAAAAGTCCCCACCAGTCAACCATTCCAACATACCAAGTCCAAGCTCTGTAGTTTGAACCCATAGACAGATCCTCTCTTGCTGCTGTTCATGTAGTTACCCAAGGCAAGAATTATCTAAAAAGAAAAATGGCTGCCAAATGAATAACGGCTCCCATACATTGGTGTTTATCAGTTTACTTGGGTCTTCTCAAACCCTCACTCACCTCCAGCATTTGTTTCAGCTTTGGAGAAGATTTGACTGAAGCCGAAGCAGCAATCACTGCATTCAGTTGCTGGGAAGAGTAAGATACATATGTCAGAAGGTAGGCATCATTTTTTCACAAGTTAAAATCTTCAGAAACAACTATGGCAACATAAAACATTGGAAGTGAATCCCAAAAATCCTATTTTAAATATACTGGCATCTAAAGACCTCTGTTCATATTTGCAATTAAATTGCTTCTCAACAAGCTTCAGGGCCTAGAACATACCTCATATGTCTTAGAGTCCCTCCCCAATGAGCAAAACCCCCATGTGTGTAGCTGCCAAGACCTGCTGTCACTTTGACAGCTGTGGCCCTGATTTGAGTAATATTACTAAACCTGGTATTTCTGTAAGAAAGAAAACATATACATCATAAATGACACACACCACTGTTCAAAATAAGTACATAAGAAAATGCAGAATAAATTATCTATACTGAACTATAAATATAAAAAAAAAACTAATCCAAAAACTTGGGCAAACTTCCAATCATTAATGAACAATTTCAGGTTTGACTATATTATACATAGCTACAGTGGCCCAGCTTGGAAACCATACCTGGCCAATGTCACTGGAAGTCAGAAATCACAGAAGTAGACACCGCTACTCCAGTGATCGCCAGTTGCTTCTGGGTCTCATGCTTAGTGAACAGCCACTTTGATATTGCCAAAAGTATTGAGCTAGCCCTCCAAATGATTGGATTCAGGTGTTCCAATCACCTCCATGGCCACAGGTGTATAAAATCAAGCACCTAGGCATGCAGACTGTTTCTACAAAACATTTGTGAAAGAATGGGTCGCTCTCAGGAGCTCAATGAATTCAAGCGTGGTACCGTGATAGGTTGCCACCTGTGGAATAAGTCCATCCGTGAAATTTCCTTGCTACTAAATATTCCACGGTCAACTGTTAGTGGTATTATGAAAAAGTGGAAGCAACTGTGAACAACAGCAACTCAGCCACAAAGTGGTAAGCCACGTAAAATGACAGAGTGGGGTCAGGGCATAATGCATGGAAGTCACCAAAAGACCTCCAAACTTCATGTAGCCTTCAGATTAGCACAACAGTGTGTAGAGAGCTTCATGGAATGTGTTTCCATGGCCGAGCAGCTGAATCCTTACATCTCCACGTGCAATGCAAAGCGTCATCTTCAGTGGTGTAAAGCACGCCACCATTGGACTCTAGAGCAGTGGAGCCATGTTCTCTGGAGTGACAAATCACGCTTCTCTGTCTGGCAATCCGATGGACGTGTCTGACTTTGGCAGTTGCCAGAAGAATGGTATTTGCCTGACTGCATTGTGACAAGTGTAAAGTTTGGTGGAGGGGGGATTATGGTGTGGGATTGTTTTTCAGGGGTTGGCTTTGGCCCCCTGGTTCTAGTGAAGTGACCTTTTAAGGCATTGGCATATCAAAAGATTTTGGACAATTTCATGCTCCCAACTTTGTGGGAACAGTTTGGGATGGCCCCTTCCTGTTCCAACATGACTGCGCACCAGTGCACAAAGCAAAGTCCATAAAGACATGGATGAGCGAGTTTGGGGTGGAGCTTGGCTGTCCTGCACAGAGTCCTGACTTCAACCTGATAGAACACCTTTGGGATGACTTAGAGTGGAGACTGCAAGTTAGACCTCCTCGTTGGACATCAGTGCCTGACCTCACACCTCACAAATGCGCTTCTGGAAGAATGGTCAAACATTCCCATAGACACACTGCTAAACCTTGTGGACAGCATTCCTAGGAGAATTGAAGCTGTTATAGCTGCAAAGGGTGGGCCAACTCTATATTGAACCCTACGGACTAAGACCGGTATAATATTAAAGTTCATGCACGTGTAAAGGCAGGCATCCCAATACCTTTGGCAATATAGTGTGTGTGTGTGTGTATTTATTTATTTTTTTTTTTTTCCCCCCCGTGCAAAAAAAAAAACACACACCCCTACAGTATATTGCTGTAATCTACAGGAATACATGGATTTAGGGAGCGCAGACTAAACATTGTTTTACTATATACAATATTATTAAGTCCACTTTGGAATAAATAATAAAATATTCAAAACATAAAAAGGTCAAATGGTCAGAATCCTTGAGTATTGTGGCATGACAAAGAACTGGTGGCAGCAATTGACTTCATACCGGTGTTAGCAGCTGCAGGTTCTCACTGAAATTGCCCATGAATGTCATGATGGACATCCTTTGAGAGAGACGCTCCACTTTACTGAAGTGCATCATGAATCTGTCCTCATCAGAAAGGTCCTCAAGAGGCTTCCGCTCCCGCTCATACTGTCTTAGCAACTTCACCTCTGCTTCTGTAGGTAGGAAGCGTACCAAACACTCCACAAAATCGACCGGCATTGTCCTCAAGTCAAACCTGGAGGGAAAGGGCAAGGTAGTATTCTATGTCTAACTACAGGTCTGTTACTAGAATAATATTTAGCAACCTGTTGCAAACAGATATACTATACATATTGCACCATGCTATGCTATAAGCACGTGAACGGGAGAGATGCATACGTGTGGATGGCTTTACAGATCTCCTCCGAGGCCCTCCCAGCTTTTCGCAGAGTGATCGCCAGGTTCTTGGCTCGGTTTGCCTCCAAAAGTGTGACTTTACTCATTGACTTCTGGGATGATTTATTCTTGGAGCAGGTAAGATCAATGGCAGCTCCCTGTGCTTTGGTTTTGAACAGCTCTTCAAATTTATCCATATCCAGATCCTACAAAAAAAAAAAAAAAAAAAAAAATACAATACAATTTAAAAACACAAAGATTTTTTTTTTTTTTTTACATAAATCAGCTCTTCTATGTGAAAAATGTACATACAAAGGTGCAGAGCACTGTACCTGCAGCTTTGGTGAGGGTTAGCTGCACTTTCCCATACAGTTCTACTATGTCCCATGGTTTTGGTGCACTTTCTGAAAGTGCATGCAGAAGTCAATGGAAATACAACCAACCCACGGGTACACTGCATTACACCCATGGTGAGGGCAAACTGCACTACACAAGTGTAAAAGGGGCATTATATTGTTTTAGAATGTTGAATTTTACATTCAAGTTGCAAGCCAGATCCATTCTATTTTTTTTTTTAATCTAATTTTAGAGAAACGTGTGCTAGAGAGAAGCAAAGGTGTTTAAATGTAATTAAACTTGTTTCATTTATATAGCAATATATCTGAAATAGATGTATTACCAATATTATGTGGCAAAGCAGACAACACAGTTGCTAAGTAGTTAGCACTTCAGCCTGGTAGCACTAGAGTCGTTGGTTTGAATCCAAACCATGGCACTAGCTGCCTGGAGTTTGCAGGTTCTGGCTGTGCCAGCATGGACTTCCTCCGGGTACTCTGGTTTCCTCCAAAGACATGCTGGTAGGTTAATTGGCTCCTGTCTAAATTGTCCCTAGTATGTGTATGTATGAATGTGAGTTTAGGGACCTGAGAATGTAAGCTCCTTGAGGGCAGAGGCTAATGTGAAAGTACAGTATATGTGTGTAAAGCGCTGCGTAAACTGACAAGTGCCTATAATAAATAAATTATAAGCAATTTTATCTGAAAAATGTGTGTTAATGTACTAACAAGGCAATCTACAAGAGTATGAATGATGTAAATAGTACAGTATACCATAAGGACCCGTATGTTTTTAATTACTACAGTCAGATTAGTGAAAGGTCACTTCTTATGGGCTTCTATAAATTTCTCAGTTTTTGCATCTTTCTGCTTATATGTTCTCTCTCACCTGTAAGATCCTCTCGTCATCCAGGTCACTGAATACGGTGCCACTAATCTGGTTGGGTTTAAGAGCAGTCCAGTTAAACACAGGTAGGCGGAACTTCGTTTTTATTGGCTTCTTGATCCTGATTGCTGAAATAAAAGCAGAAATAGGATAAGTAATACAAAAGATATCATTTCGTGGAGTGTGATTCTAAAGATTAGACAGTTTGGTGATATTCAGTCTTTTTCTCAATGTGATATTTACCTGACAAACCAGTTGTGAGGATAACAGAGGGTGAGGAAGATGGAAGAGGTGGTGGGGGAGGGCACTTGCCTGTAATTAAATGCAAATTATTATATGTGGATACGATTTATAAGCATACAAAAATTGTCTGTTTATCAGAAACATAAAATTAAACAGCCTGAGAAATTATTAATATTCAAAAAACTCACAAGTGAACTTAAAAGCAAGCACTGTCCAGTAAAGGGCTAAGAAATTACCAACCAAACAATTTCTTTAATAAAATATTTTTAGAACTATAAAATTAGAACATTTCCCTACTTTTGAAGGGGAATGGACACTAAAGAAGTACACCAAGTAGCAGATGAAATGTGTCAGTTCCTCCCCCCCCAATGATGCAGCACTCTCGCCATACCTGCCTAGCAACTAAGGTAGTATATGGGTACTGACTGACTGCCCTAAGAAGGCATTCTTCCTTCATTCTATGATGTTGGGGAAAGACCCTGTATCACTATGTACTGGATCTTTAGTTCTATGCTGATCCAGCTCTGAAAGCAACATTAAAGTTTGTGATGCAGTATCAGGGGTGGACTGACCATTTGGAAACTCGGGCACTGCCCGAGGGCCCGGGGTCAGTAGGGGGCCCCATAAGATGCCCCTGGTACCTTTTTCATAGGCTTTTTTGAGTTTGGGCAAGGACACAGGGGCCCCATGATCCCCTATTGCCCGGGGGCCCCATGTGTTGTCAGTCCACCCCTGTGCAGTATACATTGAGCTTCTTCTTTTGGTAAAGATTAATTGAGGAAGCTAGAGAGGATTCCTAAAACTGCTATATTTAAATCTGCTTCTATTTAAAGCAGAGCAAATACTATATGCTAATGGATTTGGAAGAAAAAAACTGCTCATTGCTTTTTTTTTTCTCTGAATATCCCAGATTTAAAAAATGTATTGAGATTTTGCTACCATTTTTTATGCCCTAGTGTACTGAGACAATTTTAGATACATTTATAAAACATACAGTTACATTTTCTTGCCCAAAAGTGAATTACAAGTGATCAGAAAATAGCTCTTTTATACTGTATTCTATTTATAAACGTTTGTTTACAGTGATTAAGGAAACGCATGAGACAATGAGGTGCTTGTGTGACTCTGCTAATGTGTTAACATTTATGCACATGGTACTACTAGTACATACATATGCTGCCTAGATAGGAGTCTGTAGAGTATAGGACAACACTGTCTATTTATTTTACTAATGGTGCTATGTGGGTATTTTTAAACACAAATGGCTATTTAAAGGATAAGTTCATCTTTGGGAACATGTAACATGTTCAACCCGTTTTTAGGGTGGAACATGCAACATGTTCCCATAACCACAGTCACCGCCCCCCCGCCGCCTCTGATAGATAGTACAAGGAGAAGTCTCCCCGTACTATCTGTCAAATGTGAAAACAGCGCGGCTGTGTGGGGCTTTGCCCACACAGCCGCACCATTCATTCACGTATTTCACAGGAAGTCACAGGAAGTCCCGACAGTCTTAGCAGCTGTTGGCTTGTAGTTTTCAATGAACTTCCACAGCACTGTGGAGCACCGTGGTAGTTCATTGACGTTTCCTATCAGAATATCTGCCTGCTTGTACATCCCGTATAGCAAGCAGATATTCTGGCAGGTCCGCAGGAGACCTGCATGCCATCAGTGATCTACTGATCTGTGGTGCAATGCTTTCCAGGCTCCCGGGGGGGGCAAAAATAATAAATGTGCATTTTTTTACCTGAAAAAAATGTACATTTTTTTTTTTTTTCTTGTCTAAAGGGTGAACTTATCCTTTAAAAGCTGAATTCCAGGTATTGGCAACATTTTATAGTTACATTGCTCCAGCTTGGACCCATGTAAGTATGTTTGTGCTCTATGTATGTAGACACTGCTACTACAGCGATTGCCACTAGCTTCTGGGTCCTGTGCTGAGTGATTGGACTGCTGCTTACTGAACACAGGAGGTTGCCCACTCGGCACAGGCACTCAGATCATTCAGATCAGGGAATGCTTTGTATTTTCTCAATGAATGCAAAGTGCTCTCTGATTTGACGAGGTGAGATCCCCACCTTGTCCAATTAGAAAATTCTTTGCATTTATTGAGCCAATACAAAGCATTCCCTCAATGGCACCTGTTCTGAGACAATGACCTCCTGTGTTCACATTGCAGCACAGAAGCTTTTCAGCATGAGACTCAAAAGCTTGTGGAGATCACTGTTGTAGCGGTGCCTACTACAGTGATTTTCAGCTTCTATGGTGATCCCACAGGCATGGCACATACATACTTACATTGGTCCAAACTGCACCAATATAACTATGTAAAAATTTCTATACCTGGCATTCATCTTTAATAAGTGGTTTAACAAAGGTGTTTTACTTACATCTAGGTTAGACTCTATCTCCTCTTTTGTTTGAAGTAATTCAGATCTGTGAGCTCATAACCTTATATCTAGGGGAGTCTGTCATCATATTCATTTCTTGCTGCAAATTTTAGGGTCCACTCAAGACCTGACAGTTGCAAGTGTATGACATGTAGACACCAAAGAGTTTAATCACTCCCTAGCCTGTTATATTTCCATGAAATGCTAGCAAAAGATTCACTTTGAGATTGTAGACATGATAACTGCTGTTTTTTATTACCCAATGGTAGTGCAATTCTCTGTCTATTCCTCTAGAGAATCTAGAAGGCTGGGGGAAGGGGGTGGTGTTAAAAAGCAGAGGAATACAGAACCAGGAGAGGAGAGTGAAACATGTCCTCTGGTGCCCTAGATAGTTTAAGGTGGACGGTGGATTATTATACATGACATAATAGTCTAAAACAGGATTCTAGTTCTAGTCAGATTTTGCTATTATGTATAATGGATCTCATGTCCATTAAAGGCTCTGATCAGAGAGTCATATTTACCTATATGTACTCCAATGATATCTGTATGTCAGTCTTCTCTCATTACAGCTTCTGACACTATGTCTGTCAGTTCTAACTGGCCCAATGACAAAAGTAAGAGAATCTCTGAGGCAATCTGAGCGTCCGATAGACACAGTATCAGGAACATAGTGAAAGAAGTCTAATGAGACTCTATAAAAATGACATATGTTCATATGGGAAATTGAGTGAGAAGTGTAATGGGCACACAAACGTCACCAAAATCACCCCTCCTTCCAAAATTAAATATGTATTTTTTTATGTTCTTATTAAACAGCAGTGATGTTTACTGTAGAGGATTACAAAATAATGAACCAATTCCACTGCAAATGAATTAAAATTGTCAACATGTTTAGCAGTGCCATCCTTACTTGGCATTGGAGGAGGTGGTGGTGGTGGAGGTGGGGGAGGGGGTGGAGGTGGTGCGGCAGGTACGGGTACTGGTGCAGGTGGTGGTGGGGGTGGAGGTGGTGGGAAGTCTGCAATGAATGACATGTCTCCAGGTAGGCCATCAAGTGATGAGGGGATGGTCCCAGCAGACCCAAGCTTCTGCTGCTGTAAAGCATTGGCCTGCTCCAACTGACGGAGCTGCAGAAATGCTTCCTCCTTTTCTTTGATGATTTTCCTTAGCGTGTTCACCTGATGACTTGTGGTCTCATACGTTTCCTGGAGATGCAGATGAAAAGGAAATTAACAATGAGGAATTTGAAAGGAATGCCAATGATTCAGAAAAGAAGGGGGAGCTTAGCTGAAGACGTGGTGTATTTTTTACGTATAAAAATCACACACTCACACACATATACAGGACATATACATATCATTTATATATAGTATATCCAAGTACAGTGCATCCAGAAAGTATTCACAGTGCTTAACTTTTGCCATATTTTGTTCTGTTACAGCCTTATTCCAAAATGGATTAAATTCATTTTTTCCTCAACATTCTACAAACAATACCCTATAATGACAACGTGAAAGAAGTTAATTTTGAAATCTTTGCAATTTATTAAAAATAAAAAAATGAAAAAAAAAAAAAAAAAAACACATGTACAAAAGTATTCACAGCCTTTGCCATGACACTCAAAATTGAGCTCTGCTGCATCCTGTTTCCAATGATCATCCTTGAGATCTTTCCACAACTGGATTGGAGTCAACCTGTGGGAAATTCAGTTGATTGGACATGATTAGGAAAGGCATAAACCTGTCTATATAAGGTCCCACAGTTAACAGTGCATGTCAGAGCACAAACTAAGCCATGAAGTCCAAAGGAAATATCTGTAGACCTCCGAAAAGGATTGTATCAAGGCACAGATCTGGGGAAGGGTACAGAAAAATTTCTGCAGCATTGAAGGACCGAATGAGCACAGTGGCCTCCATCAGCCGTAAATGGAAGAAGTTTGGAACCACCAGGAATCTTCCTAGAGCGGGCCGCCCAGCTAAAATGAGCGATTAAGGGAGAAGGGCCTTAGCCAGGGAGGTAACCAAGCATCTGAAAGAGCTTCAGCGTTTCTCTGTGGAGAGGAGAACCTTCCAGAAGAACAACCATCTCTGCAGCACTTCACCAATCAAGCCTGCATGGTAGAGTGGCCAAACGGAAACCAATCCTCAGTAAAGGACAAATGGCAGCCCACCTGGAGTTTGCCAAAAGGCACCTAAGGGACTCTCAGACCATGAGACACAAAACTCTCTGGTCTGATGAAACAAAGATTGAACTCCTTGGCCTGAATGCCAAGCATCATGTCTGAAGGAAACCAGGCACCGCTCACCACCTGGCCAATACCATCCCTACAGTGAAGCATGGTGGTGGCAGTATCATGCTGTGGGATGTTTTTCTGCGGCAGCAATTGGGAGACTAGTCAGGAACAAAGTAAAGATGAATGCGGCAATGTACAGAGACATCCTTGATGAAAACCTGTTTCAGAATGCTCTGGACCCTAGACTGGAGCGACGGTTCATCTTTAAACAGGACAACGACCCGAAGCACACAGCCCACATAACAAAGGAGTGGCTATGTGCCAACTCTGTGAATGTCCTGGAGTGGCCCAGACTTGAACCCGATTGAACATCACTGGAGAGATCTAAAAATGGCTGTGCACTGATGGTCCCCATCCAACCTGATGGAGCTTGAGAGGTACTGCAAAGAAGAATGGGAGAAATTGCCCAAAAATAGGTGTGCCAAGCTTGTAGCATCATATTTCAAACAACTTGAGGCTGTAATTGGTGCTAAAGGTGCTTCAACAAAGTATTGAGAAAAGGCTGTGAATACTTGTGTACATGTGGTTTATTTTTTTTATTTTTTAATAAATACAAAGATTTAAAAAACAAACTTCTTTCGCGTTGTCATTATGGGGTATTGTTTGTAGAATGTTGAGGGGGAAAAATGAATTTAATCCATTTTGGAATAAGGCTGTAACATAACAAAATGTGGCAAAAGTTAAGAGCTTTGAATACTTTCTGGATGCACTGTAAATGCAGGCATCAGATGGGCTAACCATCACCATGGCAAAGTACTAGTATCCAAGAAACAAATGCTGTGCAACTAAATGGTGGTTTTAATCAGTGGATTTACTTTCTGCTGCAGTGAAAAAAATATACAAGTAAATATGCTTAAAGAAGCGTACTTACTGGTATACCTGTATACCTTTGCATTGCAGCAGAAAATATATCCATTGCTTGGATTTGCCATTTGGTTGTGTGGCACTCCTTTCTTGGAGTCTATTATACATAAATCTACCTACATTTTGTCCATTAAAATATAACAATGCACTTTACATTTATATGTGACATATTACAGTTTGTAATATTGTGGAAGCAGGCAGGCCCAACTACTGTTCATAAACAAGTGTAAGAGGGATTTAAATCTGAAGACTATGGTTTTATTATAGCCCCTTTATTAAATGAATCTTAAAACCATGAGCCTAAGTATAGCTGTGAATGCTTGCAGTAAAAACAAGAAAACTGCATAGTGGCATGGTCAATGCAAACTCATTTAATTCACTTAGGTACAGGTGAGCCTTGGTGGGCTAGGACAGCTTCCAGCATGTACTATGTCTTGGTTACTCCAACAGCAAAATGCCACAATTCCAGTCTTGTCTATATTCCCATCGCACATGTTCCAGGAAACAGGGCTCATAAATAGCGGGTGCTGCAGCTACTACCAGCTGGATACTGGAGATTTCACAAATAAATGCACATATTCACCAGTACGCCAAGAATCTCTACATGTAATCCAAAAGGCTGTTATCGCAGAAAGATCACATCACAAAGGAACAAGTTCAACATATCGGAGCCATGCAGGATTACTTCATTAGGCATATACCTGATGAAGGGGTCCTGTGCGACTCCAAAACATTGCATATGTTCCTTTGTGTGTAGTCTTTTTTGACTACATTTGGAGATCCTTGGTGTGCAGGTGAAAATGTGCATTTATCGGTGCCACAATTCCAGATTCTACTCCCATCCACCCCAGAATTGTAGATGCTTCTGCCCACCTTTAAGTGTTCTGGAACAGTTACATTTTCCATGACAAAGTTTAAAAAAAGAATTCCACAGAAAACAGTCAGCTCCCCCTCAAACGCCAGCAGATGTGCAGACCCTGGAGCATGCACAGAAATCTCACCAGTGGAATCCCTCTGGCTCCCCCAACATCTACCAAATAACCAAAATATTTGTTTTAGATGGACTCACTTTTTAAGATCCACCACCACTCAAGCTGAATTAAGCTTTCAGGGATAAGAACAATGATCTACTCTAGTGTATCAGTGTTCACATTTTGTCCAGGAAAATACTAAAAGGTGCTTAAGAATGTCTAGTTTCACATGCAGTGTACACTTCCATGTGGCCAGTATGTTTGCAACAGACACAGTAACAGTAAAGGGCTAAAAGCCAATCACACTGACATTTAACAGTGATATCATTGTAAAGAAGAGTTGCCTACCTAAACCCCTTATTGCCTAATGGAAAGAGGGACTAAGCACTACAATGTAGCTAAACAGAAAAAACACTTCAAAAAAGAACCCCTTGGTCACAATGGTACAAATGATCTTAGCCCTGACAGGGTTAATTGAAATAATTGTAATAATTTCCAGCAACACGTAAATATATAGAGCATACATACAGATGAGATTTGATAAAAAAAAAAAATTCCTAACTGATGGGAAAATAAATGAATGTGAAGATAACAATGTTCTAAAGAAAATAGTGATAGAAAATATCAGCCAGAAAGAGAAGGGGGGGGGGGGATTGTTTGTTAACAATAAGTTCAGGTCATGCAAAACGTTTTATCTGGGAACTTTTGTGATGCATGATGTATTAATAGTAATAGGGGTTCCGTAGAATAATATTCCAGAATTTACTGTAGTTCAGTATCCCGGGAAAGCCCCAACAAGTGACCATGTATGAAAAAAGAAACTGAATCTTGAGGTTAAGAAACAAGAAGTGATACCCCAGCAGGGGAGCAGTTCTCAAAAACAAACCTAAAATGCTTAGAAAAACAATCGTATGTTTGAAGAGTGCATTCAGCAGTAGAGTAGTACTCGGCTGCTTTAAATTTATCCCAATGCAACAATACCACAAGCAGGAAAAACACTGAAAACCACCAAGTGAACTGGGACTGCACATATGCTTGTAAAGACTATGTATAGGGATGCTAGGAGCACATCACACGCAGAAAACGTGCCTCGCTGTCCACATTGCAAGGAATTTCTAGATCAGGCTCTGACATCCTGCAGTCTTCTCTTGTGGTAGGAGAAACAGGTTCCAGCATACCCTGCAGTCACTGGCTCACAGAGATTACTTGTCCTCATTTATTTTCCATCATCTCCTTTCCCGGTGAAATCATACCACCTAAACCAAAAATGAGCGCTCTCCACCACTTAAGACACAAGTTCTATCGTCCAACTAGTTTTAGGCCAGGGTCACACCTATGCAGTTTGTGTGCTTGATCCGTTTCTGCAATGCTTTTTAGGGTGCGTTTTTGCACATGCATTTTTTAAGTGTTTTTTTTTTCTTTATCCAACTTGTTGCTGGGCAGATTAAAATGCAAAATGCATCAAAAGCATGTCAAAAAGGAACTACATGCATATCTGCAGCATCTCCATTGAAGACTACTGAACCAAAAATGCAACATTTTGTGTTTAAAAAAGTCCCTGACCCTTTCCAAAAAAAGCACTGAGTGAAAAAACATGGAGACGTGAACATGTCCCATAGGAAAGCATGTTTAATGGACTGCTGTGCGTTTCTGCAAATCGCAATGGAAAACGCATAGGTGTGAACCTAGATTTATCCAGGTTTGGCTGAAGTTGGATTTTAAGAAATCAAGATTCGTAGTTGCTCATGCATATTCTATACAAACATCAGCATAATAAAGACACTCTTAACACTCTCTTTGTAGCTCACCCTAATCATTTCCAGCTCCTTCTCCCTATGTAATAACGTTTTTTCCAACTCGGCCACTCGCATCATGTTCTCATTCTCCAAATCTAGCAGCTTTTCTGTCATCTGGAAGAAAATCATAACTGCAGTTATTGGATCCTTATGCAGCTCAGAATAACAGTACCTACTGTAATCTTCCCAGCAGCAACTCTCTGATCTAATATCACTAATCAAAAGTGAAAGGAATCCAAAGATTTTTTCTTTTACACCAAAGGAAATCCCCAGAAATTTAGCAAATACTCCAAGAAGGAAACATGACGCAATCTATGACATTCTGTCAGTTTCACGTGTACTGTGGTTTAACTTGTGACCATTTGTTGATTTTTTTTTTTTTTAACTTTAATTTTGTTTTCTAAAATGTTCCTGCATACACATACCAGAAAAAGCCCTCCAAGTTTTAAAAACTGGGCATCATGGATGCATCCCTGTGTTAGCTGCTTATTTCTAAAATACTGTATATACAGTATTTATATTATTTAAATATGCTACAAAAACCATCATGTCATCAATGTCATAGCCTTGTTGTTGGTAGGGGGTATACATCACCAGAGCCATTTGTCATTAGTAAGGGTGTGTATCCCATTACTTGCAGGTTTTTTGCTTCTGCTGAAAATCCTTCCCTCTATACCTTCTCTAGGTGGACAGATACTGTCCTGAGTGCCTTTTCTCCAATGCTGTGAAGGTTAATTGCAGACAGAAAAAAAAAAATTTACCCCTCGCCAGCCAACTTTCTGCCCTCTCCGCCATTCACAGAGCTCATAGTACTACACTCCCGTAAATGCATTGCGTTCTATGAATGGATGTTAGAACAGTTGAATGAAAGGATTCCATAGCCCATTCACAGTTCTGTGAATGGCGGAGAAGGCAGAAGACAACAGGTGAGTGGCGCAACTTTTCTCTCTAGCAGCGGCTGCAGTTAAACTTCACAGTTTTAGAAGACATGTGTTCAGGATGGTATCCAGGGGCCTTGAGGAGGCACAGAAGGGAGGAAATTTAGCAGAAGCCTGCAGGTAATGGGATACACACCATTATACATAACTAATATTTATGGTGCTGTATCCCAAAAAGAGAAAACAAAAACTAAACTTCAGATTTACTGTATTCAAACTAATCCTGTTATACTGTTCCGATGGATCTAATGTGGATAATAAAGTGGGCACAGTGATGTGATCGATCTGTATATATGCCCTGGTGCACAACAGGCCGTTGTAATATAGTTAAATGTATCAGCTACTAGAGACTCATCATGTATCACATTTTAATAAAGTTAAATGGTTAAAGTGGTTCTCTTTATCTAAACATTAAACTCAGACCTAAACAGAGAAATCACACACTGTGTAATGTGTAACATATAGCAAGAGGAAGTGGAAAGAATTGCCACCAACAGATTATACTGCACAAGAGGTCTGGGGGTTGTGGTGACACACTGCGAGTTTGTGTTTTTCCATAATATCCCACCAAAATGTTGGTTATTAGTAAACTTGATACAATTTTTTAAATACAATTTCCTTCCCCTCCGAGTTAAGAGTGTGATGCTATTTTTTCCTCAACAACTTCCAGATTAACAGAAATGAGATTGAACCGAGAACCCAGATTAACAGAAATGAAGGTGAACCAAGAAACTCTATTTCAGTATTAGGCCAGACTGTAGAGCCAGTCGGAAGGATTAATCAGCAAAAAGACTCTAAATCTGTTAAGTGTCAATGAAATATTAAATGCAGACACTCTGAGCCACCTTCAGATACCTTCTCAAACAAAACTCAGGGCACTCTACTGTAGATATAATAATCCGAGCAAGGACAAACATTTTGTGTTTCCCCACCACCATGCGCTTCCATCCCAGTTTGGTAAGCAAGACCAACAGCAAGTAGCGGGATGGAGCAGGCCAAAGCCGCAACCTAACTAAAGTCAGTGATTGCACTTACTAGAAGATGGCTATAATGTATGTACAGACAATTCTGTATTCCTCTATTTATATTCTGTTAAAACTTAACAATGCTAGAGCTCAATACAAGCACACTTAAAAATGTCATATTTATCAGCATTTCACCATTTGCTGTATTTACTGGCCAGCTTTATAAAAACGGATGAAAAATTGCTGGTGAATTGCATGAGCTCCAATTTCCATACAAGCAAGTTTGCCTGAAGTCATCCAACTGTTCAAAAGGCCCACTGGATCTCTTGCCTCCATATTAGATGTGAAGTTAAAGTGCACCGATTTGTTTTACTTGCTAATGTCTATGCACCACTTGGCATAGTCTGAAAAGGTTCTCGTTCATTCAGGTCATGATATAGCTGGTAGTGGTTGGTCACATTCAACGAGACTTGTTCTGTAATGTGGATGACATTTTGCAGCATCTTCTGTTCTACAGTTGTTTGAGAAAATTACATTACAGAACAAGTCCAGTTGAATGTGACTAAGCTATGACATAGGATGAAATATTTTAATTTGTCTCCCAACATTCCACTGGATAACCAAATAACGCATGGAAAAGCAGGCAGTGTCAGCCAACAAGGGTCTACTGCATTACTTTAGGCAGTCAGTCTAACAATGCTAACAGGAGGGAAGAGCACGGAACTGATTTGTTCAATGCTGCTTCTGAATTGTCCAGTAAGCAGGCTGAGGGCAAGGATATGACACAGTCGCTTTACAAAAGTGTTGGCAGGAAAATTGTACACATATATTGCCTACTGTATATATTTAGCAGGAACTCAGCTTTAACCATTGATTACATAAGAGACTGCATATATTCATACATTTTTTAGTCCTGTAAAATGGTAATGTAAATTACACTGTTTATAGACTGTAAACTCTCACAAGCAGTGCCTTCCTAATTGTACTGTCTCCATTTATTCTATAAAGTGCTGTTCAAACTGTTGGCGCTATATAAATCCTGTATAATAATGACTGTCGTCTTGTAAAAACCTGCTGTATACCTACATGAGATAAATGTTCCTCCAATTCCTCCACTTTCTCAAGTGCAACATTCTTAGTCTCTGCATCTTCCAGCAAACCTCCTACATCAAATACATTATCCAAGTAGGCTTGAATCTGCACCTGAAGTTTCTCACTTTCCGTGTGTTTAGATTTCTGCAGAGAATGAAAATACACAAAATTAGCGCACAATGTTACGTTAGAGGCATTTGAGTTGTCCACCGAAACATCAGTGTAGGGAAACATGTAATCCTAATTAAAAGGTATGCGCTAATAACAAACTTATACAAAGGTGTATATCATCCAAACAAACATTTAGTGTTTTAAATAAATAATTATAGTGTCCAAACATAAATTAGTGTCCAAAAAAAAATAAAAATATATATATATATTAGTGTCCAAAAAAAGGAAGTAGGCCACGCTCAACTGGTTTCGTCACACAGACGTTTGGTACTGCCCCTTGATGACGTCTGTGTGACGAAACCGGTTGAGCGTGGCCTACTTGATGTGGACGTTAGAGAGCCTTGCTGTTCTGTGCTGTATGGGAGAGATCCGCGTTGAGCGGAAATTGTATCTCACCTTTTTTTGTGATTGAAGCTGGTGTCTGTTGGACACCTTGTTTGTGAGTTTCCTTATCCCTTTTTTATTAAAGAGATAAATGAAAAAAACGTATTGCACCATTATGTTCTCTTTTTTGTCCCTGAGTGTACTGTATGCTCTCATGGAGATATGAGAGAGTGGAGAAGTTCATCATAAGCGCTTGGGCTGCAAAGTTGTTTGTCTGTGATTATTATTATCTGGAAGTATCTGAAACATCACCATATCTGTTTGGACATCGGGTTCATTGCTCCCAGAGCACAAGTGCTGTTGCTGCTTTATATTCTGACCAGCCATTGGCTCTGGTGAGTTCATTTAATCTCCTTCGGTGGTGGATTTTTCACAATTGGTTCAAGTCACTGAAGATATATATTTTTTTTTTTGGACACTAATATATATATTATTATTTTTTTTTTGGACACTAATTTATGTTTGGACACTATAATTATTTATTTAAAACACTAAATGTTTGTTTGGATGATGATATACACCTTTGTATAAGTTTATTAGCGCATACCTTTTAATTAGGATTATTGTTGCCAAAATTTATTTATTTTGGGTGGGATATGCTGCTGACACTTTGGTGTTTTTTGTAAAAGGCGCTTTTTTTCTTTTTTAATTTGGTAGGGAAACATGTAATTCTTACCTCCAGGAACTCTTCAAGGCCCAGCTTGGTGAACTCATACTGAAGGTGAACACGGAAGTTCATGTCTTCCACAGAATGGACAACAATGTTAATGAACTGCATACATGCAACCTGTGGGGAAAAAAGGTTCTTTTATCAGCAATGGAAAGCAACTTATTATCTATAATTACTATAGACATCAGCTGGGTGCTTGACCTACCATGAAATCAATGTTGCTGTCTTCATTCCTAAAATATTCCATGAGCTTCTCAAAACGATGCTTCTCCTTGCAGACCTAGAATGAAACAGAGTATATGATAGTGGATACAAAAGTATTTATGTGTAGAGATCCCAGTTCCTTTACAGTACAAAAAACTTATAGATCACTGGGTTAAAATAATACAATTTCCTACCTCTTTGAAGTTGTCAAAAGCAGATAGAATGATTTCATGTCCTCCCCGAACCAGACACACCGCAGCCAGTAATTCCAGGACCAAGGCTTTTGTTCTATTCAAATAGAAACACGTTAGGTAATAGAGAAATAAAATATTCTAGGTGTAATTAAAGTGTTATAGCTAGCCAGGACTTTGTATAAAAAAAAAAAAAAAAAAAAAACTAGTTTGAACCCAACTGAGAATTTATTTTCAACCTGAATATATATATATATATATATATATATATATATATATATATATATATATATATATATATATATATTTTTTTATACACACATACATACACGAGGTGTGACAATTTAATGCACTGTAAAAAAATATCAAACACCTCTGCATTCTTTAAAAGATGAAATTTGAAGATGACGTTCTTTCTGGTCTTCTATAAATATTCGAGCCACCATCTTTGGGGAAATCTTTCTCATTTCCAAATCTCTGTTAGAATCTGCAGCACTGTTTCCCTGTTCATGTTCAATACTTCTGCCATCATTCTCACACTCAATCTTCGATTTGTGCCTATGAGGATTCACACTCTGTCCACAGTTTCATCTGTTCTTAGCTGCCCACTGCTTGCATCATGGTGGACATCTTCCTGCTCCTCCATAAACAGCCTAGGTCTTTCAAAAACACTTGATTTCTTCATGGAACGTTCACCATATGCCTTTTGTAACGGAGCCAACATTTCACTTGCACTTTTTGGCAATTTTCACACAAACTTTGATGTTAATCCTCTGCTCCAGATTCCTGACACTCATTATCCGGTGCAACATACGTGTTATTTCTTCTGCTGCTCCGTAAAGACAACTGGTCTGAGACCCAGGGGAGTGCAATTTAGAACATGCTTGAGTGTGAATGGCTGTGTGATGCAACCCCATAGTGCTATGTTGGGAATTAAATTGTCACAGTGTGTACACACACACCAGTGTATTATCTGCTTGCATAACATGAGGAACATAAACATTACAGTTATATTAACAGATACCTTGGATTCTTGTTGTTTAAGCTGAGAGCAATTTCATTGACAGCATGAGGATGGGACATGACCAGATTGAAGCCATACTAAGAGAAAAAGAAGAAAAGAGAAACAAAGGATGTACAGATAGTCCAGAATGTTAACTATAGGTATCCTGTAGTATTCATACATATCCACAGCCACCATTCATATTTTTAGTATTCTATGGATATATGTATATGTGTATATACACACATAGTTGTTTATAACTAAAGAGATACAAACAAAAGTATTATTAGGATAACAAAAGTATGAATGATAGCTTGCACTGCATGCTATTTCATCACATCGATCACACCAACTAATTCTATACCTGGTAATTCATAATGGCACGGAGGCACATGATGCAGACATGTACATCATCCTTCTGGCTGACCAATCTGGAATTTTTCAGCGCTTTTTTTCCTGGCAGTGTATTGTAGCTGCTATTGGGGGACAGTGAGTACACAAAAATGTTTATTGAAACAGTAAAATATGTCAGGCTCAATCATTTGTACAGTGGATACAGCTCTGATTTTCTGGTATATGTGTTAGTAGCAAAAAGGTTTTGATCAATGTAATGGATAATAAAGTGTTTTTCCATTTTTGGAAAGGTTTAAAAAGCACAGCGTTATAATGAAGGAATTTTACTTATGGCAGTAACACCCAAAAAAATGAAAGGAATCATAAAAGTGTTCATCACCTTTTACTCCTAAATCTTTATTTATGAAAATATTACTTTTTGGTCCAGTAGATAATAGATGATGAGAAAAGCAAAAACACAATCAGAAAATGTGCTAAATTTATTTCATAGATTTACTGTCGGAGTACTTGCTAAAGTTATTGTAACAGTGAGTTGCAATGAAGCAAGTATCATATAATGTATACCAATATACTGGAAACACATAATATTATATAGATATAGAATCATCATGGAAGTGTAAGATGCCTAACATATGCAATGTTCATTGTATTTCAGTGGACCCTTTGCCTTTCCAGGTGCTACTAGCCTTTAAAGTTAACATTATCATAAAAAGAATAGCTATGGAAGAATCACAAACACAGCATCTTGGCAGGTTGGCTGCAGGGAACAATGGCAAGGAGCGGGCACACAAATACATACCGGAGCACAGACTGGCGGGCAGAGCGAGCGAGGCCGTTGGCGAAAGGGGCATGGAGGGCGTTGGGACTCTGCAGATCCTCGATGGATCTGCTCCAGGGTTTGGACTTTTCAACCAAGCCATCCTCCCCGTTTTCCAGGCCCTCAAAATCAAACCTACACCAAAGGGATACAAAGAAGCTTGAGCGGCCAAGGGACAGACAAAGGAATGGGTAAAGCAAGCTACAAAGCAGCAGAAAATGGTATCCAGCCTGCTGGATGTGCAATAGCTGCATTGGCTGGGACCAACAGACAACAAACTGAGCTGCATATGTCAGACAGCACGGGGTGGAAACTGTTACTTGGAACACATGCTGCTTCTTCAGCATCAGGACACAAAAATTCACGAAGGATAATCATCAGTATTCTGTCTGCACAGATTTTCCTACTTGTGGTGTCTTGGGATGGCTCTCCCACATACATTAAGGAAAACATATTTACAGACTGTACTTACATAACCGCGCACTGTGCAAATGAGAGATACTCCACCAAAACATCCAGGCCCCTGTTGTCATTATTCAAGAACTCACGCACCCACCTAAAAGAGAAAGACAATGCTCTCAATTAACATCCATGACAGGAAATAAACTTGGGAACAATTTGGGAAAAGCTATTCCACATACTAGTATTAACTTTGTTTTTAAAACCAACAGAAACCATGCTTGTGACATTTACGGTTCAGGAAAAAATCTTCATGGTTTACAATTAGACTCCAGGCTGTCAGCCCAGTAGAGTCATGTGACCACTGGACATGCCACAATGTAATGTTCCCCCCACCTCACATACAGACCACTACCATTATGAAGACATAATGATGCCATGTAATTGTGCTTTACCCTCATATGACTCCATTCATATATTACCTTATATGAAACCAAGCAAAACAATTTTAAACAAGATTATGCTGCCAAAACATTTGTTCGTTAACCATATGCCTATAGCCAGCCATAGACGGTTTGAATCTCAGCCGGTACCAGCTGAGATTTGAACCATGTATAAGCAGGCTAAATGTACCCAAGTTGATTGACCGATAATCTTGGGTACAACCAGCCTGTTGGATTTTACATGCGATTATTGCTAGCGGCTACAGAACACGATGGCTCTGCAGGAGAGATTCCCCCATCAACACAAACTGTGTTGATGAGGGAATCAAACGATTTTCTTTCCTTCAACCACAGTTTGCAGGAAAGAAAATCGCTCTGTCTATGGCCAGCTTATATGGTAAACAACAGAATTCTCCACTAAAGATGGAAGTCTTTTAAGCTAGAAGCAAACAGAACTAGTTTTTCCTAATAATTCACTGGCATTGTATTTGATGACTCTGATATTAATGTTGTGCCCCCATAACGCTTTGTAGAATTACAGAATGTACTCAAAGTATGAACTTTCCAAAGTTTCATCCTGGAGAGAACATAACAAGCTTTGTGATTTGGTGTTTTGCCTCCATAAACCTGGGTGGAATTACAAAATGCATTATCACTCAAAAGTGCAAACTTTCCAAGGTTTACTCCTGGAAAGAGCATGACAAGTAAATAAGCCTTGTGATTTCTCTTAAAGTAGAAGGCAAAACTATTTTTTTTTTTCATTTGGTTACAGTTAGGGAGGGTTATAACCCTTGTCGGTTTATTTTTTGCATCTGTGTCCCATTTGGGAGATTTATCTTCACTTCCTGTCCTACGGCCAAAACAGGAAGTAAAAGAAAATCCCTGCAAAGTAAGGTAATTCCTTGGGGACCCACAGGTCACCAGAACTAGTGACCCAATTGGAAAATTTTCCCACCACTACTTTTCTGGGGATTTTCATTTATTTTCACTTTCAAGGATAATGGTAAACAGGGCAAATAGAGAGGGTGAATCTATGTAATGGGGACACAGACAGTAATAAAAATCTAAAAGCTGTTCTAATCTCTCTCCGCTCTGTCCAAAAACGAACAACATAGTTTTACCTTTAGTTATACTTTAATAACACCAGTATACATTTACATTGAAGGAAAAATGTGGTCTACTAATGAATCAATCCAAACTCATAATGCTAACCTTCAAATTCCTGTCCAGTCTGACTGCTATGTAAAAATGTACTTACTTATTACCAGACATTACTCCAAAAGCAACCTCTATGGCATTTTATTCTTGCTTTATTATCTAATCACTGTATGTACCCTTCTATGTAATTTCTTCCAATAAATCACTCCGCACACTCCAAATCATGAAACCCCGAAATGTACCTGTAAATCTCCCCCATTATGCCAAGCATATAATCTGATTTTGTTTCCTCTTCCACTATCTGAACTATAAGCTCTAATAGGTATAAAACTGAATAACATTGCAGCAGATGATTATGCTACTGAATTTATAGGTTCCTGTTATAAAGGCTAATGTCTGTTGCAGCCAAGACTTGCCTCCAGCAGCCAAGAACAGCCTCCAGCACTATAGGTTTCCATTGTCAGACTGCTAGAAGTTGTGCCGATTCCAGGGAAAAGCCCACAATAACTGCCCCAGAGCTGGCCCAGCTTCCAAAAATTTAACAACAGCAACCTCTGGCACTGGACTGATGCCTCAGCTATGGCAACTAAGATATAGATAGATAGATAGATATATATATATATATATATATATATATATATATATATATATATCTATCTATATCTATCACAGAGGGTGAGTAGTCACACAAGACCTACTTTCAGAGTACTTCTATATGTATCTGATTGTAAAAGTAAAATGTACAGTAACCAGGTATTTTTTTCCACACAAAAAGAAATGCTGATTTTATTTTTTTTTTTAAATGGCACTGCTTACACTACTTTCTTTCAGTGGGAGTCTCAAGTGAATATACAGTCTCAAAGTCGGCAGACAGGGTATTGTCAAAGATCATAGCCATGATACAAGAAATGGTCAGAGACTGGAGACATGATGCAAGAGATGGACAGAGACTGCAGACATAATACAAGAGATGGTCAGAGACTGCGGGCATGATACAAGAGATGGTCAGAGACTGCGGGCATGATACAAGAGATGTCAGAGGCTGCGGGCATGATACAAGAGATGTCAGAGGCTGCGGGCATGATACAAGAGATGTCAGAGGCTGCGGGCATGATACAAGAGATGTCAGAGGCTGCCGGCATGATACAAGAGATGTCAGAGGCTGCCGACATGATACAAGAGGTGGCCAGAGATTACAGGCATGATTCAAAAGTTGGTCAGTGACTGCGGGCAGGATACAAGAGATGGTCAGAGACTGCAGACATGATACAAGAGATGGTCAGAGACTGCAGGCATGATACAAGAGATGGTCAGAGACTGCAGGCATGATACAAGAGATGGTCAGAGACTGCAGGCATGATACATTAGATGGTCAAAGACTATGGATATGATACAAGAGATGGTCAGGTACTGCAAGTATGATACAAGGAGATGGTCGGAGACTGCAGACATGATACAAGGAGATGGTCAAAGACTATGAACATGATACAAGAGATGGTGAGAGACTGCAGGCATGATACAAGAGATGGCCAGAAATTATGGACATGATAAAAGGGATGGTCAGAGACTGTGGATATTCCACAACTGTGAAAATGATATACGAGTTGTTGGAGATGATAGCATGCACAAAGAGAGTGTCATAGACTGGAGGCACATTACATGAGACTGCTAGAAATCGCTGCTATAACCAGGCAACAGGGACACACAGATTAAGGTCTGTAGGGGCCCCGAGGGTCACAGAAAAAGCACCAGAGGGCAGCAGGTTGAGCACCAGGGGCCTACACTTTCTGACCAGTTTGGAAGTAAATCTAACCTAACTAAAGTTGAAATATTTTTTCAAACAAGCAGTTTTCATTGAGAAGTCCCCTGTCAGGCCTAATGAGGTCAGTACTGTCTATTCAATTTTAAACTACTGTCATTCTGCTGAAAGCAGATACAAATGCCAAGTTATCACAACCTATACAACACAGAGTGAAATCCAATTCAAAGGAAACTTGAGATGTCAGATCTCTCTTTGAAATTATAGTATGCTGGTCTAATAACATAGCAGCAGTGTAACTATATAATACAATGATTCTTTTCAGAATGAAGTGGACAGATCAGGCAGGATACCTCCATGCCTCTACAACACTGATCTGTGCTCTGCCTTGGGTGAGTGGATCAGGGCCCCAGCCATGCGAGTAAGAAAATAAACAAATGTGAGTATGTCTCAGCCCAATGTTTTGTCTGGGATGTAATTATCGAGCAGATTAAGTTGATGACATTGTTATTATACAGGATTTTATATAGCGCTAACAGTTTGCTCAGCACTTAACAATATAACGGGAGACAATACAGCAACAATACAGTTCAATACAAGAGGGATAGGAGGGCCTGATCCTGGGAGCTTACAATCTAAGAGGATGATATAATCAGCACATCATCAACTCATGTAGACCAAGTCACAAATAATTTGCATACATTCAGGTCCTTCTGTACACGTGCCAGTCTTTGCACTTAATATTTTCGAGACCTGTGTCAGTATTGTAATAATTTCAATGTAACAAACATTTGAATCTTGAATCTGGTAACATCTGAAACTCTGAAATGACACTGAAATGATACAAGCACTGAAGGTTTTGTTTTAGGCCTCTTTCTGCTGCTTGTAAATGTATGCATGTTTTGTTTTGTTTTTTGAAAATCCAACACTCCTGGCACAGAGATCACTTGCGTCTGTATACTGTGTTTATCTGCGATTACATGAGGCTGCATTTAGCTGTGTTAGTAAATTCTTGCCTTTTCTATAGAAACTGTTTACTTATTTTTTCTTTGTACTGCGATTAACTGCGTTTATGTACAGATAGCTGCGCGGTGCATCGCTCCTGGACGCTGTCAACTTTGTTTTTCCTAATTGCATAAAACCGTATGCTATGAAAATGTTGCTAAACACAGTGTGTGAATGGAGCCATAGGGATGCATTGTCTGCATTTAGCTGCGGAAACTAATGCAGGCCATATGGGGAGAAAAACGGCAGATTTTTCTTTTAAAAAACAAAAATTCGGTCGTTCAAGCGGACCGATTACCATCAATGGTAAAAAAAAAAAAATCGGCCGATTTTCATCCCATTCTACAGCCGGCAAAAAGTGTCCCTGCAGAGAGCTCCGCTATTTCTGACAGTTCTCTGACAGTTCTTCACATTTACAGCGGTTTGAAAACATTGTATCTATTTGTTTCCATTTAGGATACAAGATGTGTTTTATTCAGAAACAAATAGATAATGTTTCGATAAACCACTGTAAATGTCAAAAAACTGTCAGAGAAACTGTCAAAATAGCGGAGCTCTCTGCAGAGACACTTTTTGTTGGACTGGAATTCTTCTTATTTTCATCCTACTTCTTCTTTCTTCTTCTTCTTCTTCTTCATCCTCTTCTTCTTCATCCTCATCATCTTCTTCATCCCCATCCTCTTCTTCTTCATACTCATCCTCTTCTTCTTCTTTTCTTCATCCTCTTTTTCATCATCCTCCTCCTATGAAGCCTCCTTCTTCCTCAGCTCTTCTTCTAAATCATCCTCCTCC